GATGCGACTTTAAATCTTAACTCACTCACTCACTCACTCACTCACTCACTTTGACACCACATCTCTTCAAGAACGTGTCACGATGCCTAGGATCAAATCATACAGGTTTCGATGTTCTGTCACCAGGTAAACATTGATTAAGGAAAACAACACAAATTATGTTATTGTCATTTTGCTTTTAAAATGGCATAACAACATATAATGCTCAGTTACTTTATTCCAGTAGTATATATGGCATCAATGTTAGTTATGTTCACACGAGGGACGAAAAACGTTTCTCTTCGTGACAGAAAGGGATCATAGTATAAAAATAGTCAATATATGATGCACATCCCAGAATATGTTGCATACGTGAAGCATAAAATATAATGTTACAATATTTAAACTAAATATACCTGAACCCGTGATAACATTAACACAAAGCAAAGTTGGTCCACCGTTTCAGTTAAATCTGAAAACGCATGTGACAGAGTCTGAAGATAAGACAAATATGACGTACCCGACATGATTCAAATGAACAACAGCCCTGTGGTGAGAAATGCAAACAAGCATAAATACACATTGTAACCATAACTTGTCTCATCCCGAGTGTTACATGCAAATACATAGGACCTTCCTTATGTACCCTTGGAACCAATGGTAGGCAGAGCTTGACCAACCACACGCTTGAAGGCCGTTAAGGTATCGGCACAGCCATAGTTTGGATCGAACTGTCTATAGTTGTATCGTGAAATACAAAATGAATGACCAAATCAAAGAGACATGATTTGTTGGTATTTCCAACAAAGGTAAGCATGTCCTACCAGTAGAAGTAGCTACTCACACATGTTGTATCAAAATATTTAAAACCAGCAATGGATGGGAGAGCAGTCTTCAGAAGAACAATGCCTTTGCTTTGCGATCAGGACACCTCAACACCGCCAAGCTTCTACATGTTAATGACAAACTCCACTGACTACTAATCCAAAAAGGACATCGAAAGTTGTAACATGGAGGCAGCAAATGCTGGAAAGGGACATCGAAAGCAGTGATATGTAGGCAGCATACCTGACTGAGGATGTTGAGGTTCTTTATGTTTGTCCTGATGATGAGTACCTACTTTGTTCAAGGATTAGAAATATATTGAGGTAAGCTAGAATACGGTTACAATATGTTGGTATAAATGTGTAAAAGCATCTGTAAACAGTGTGTTTTGACTGTGTGTTTGTCTTTTTGAAATAGCTATTTTGATATTTGTAAGTTTCCAAAAATAAAATTATATTTACTGGTGTTTATAAATATGTAAGTTGCAGAAGATCTTAGCAGAGAAGGTTATCTTTTAATTTTCTTTTTATCTATTTGGCAGTTTTCGAGAATATTCATAAATATATAAGAGAAACTCAATAATACAGAATATGGCTCTGATAGTATATCATCTACACAGTGACATTAAAATTTTAAAATCACAACTTTCAAAGTTGATATCTGCGTAAATATCGGATGATAGTCTATGTCATGTGTATTTGTGTAGTTGAACTGCTAATTGTTGACGTATGTTTATTGGCTGTGATATCTTAGTTAATGTCTTGAAAGATTATCTTCAGTCATGTGGTCCTGATCTTTTAGTTTGTGTTTTCATATAGTTTAATGTGGTGATTACATTAGATACGTGAATGTTTGAGTGAGTTTAGTTTTTCGCCGCTATTAGCCCTATTCCAGCAATATCACAGCTGGGGACATCAGGCTTAACACATTGTACCCTTGTGGTGACCACGAACCTGGGTCTTCGACGTGACGAGCAAACGCCTTAACCACTAGGCTACCCCACCGCCTCAAAAAGATCTGAAGTTTGATGGGAATGTGTAGATAATGGTGATGATTCATAGCAATGTTGAAGGTTCTGGCGGCCGATCAGATAATGTTGTCCGAGGCGGTGATTATAGTGTTAAGGCTTCATTTTAAAATATATTCTAATGGAAAAAGTAACTGCATGATTTTAAAATATATACTAATGGAAAAAAGTAACTGTGCATTACAAAAAACTGCATAAATAAAAGTTATTTGAAAACTTTGAAATATAACCCTAAATAAACATGCAGCAAAGCAATTTGCGTGAAATTTGATATCATGTATATGAGCGTCTCCGCGCTGTGGGTATGCTAGATACTGAAATGGTCCAAAATGAAGTGGGCTGACATATTGGTGTCCATCAAAACACTGTCTCTTCTCCATGGAGACGTTTTCAACATAATGGGAACACGAGATATTTACCTATTATGCAGATCCCAGAAATGTTGCATAAATGAAGTATAATGTTACAATGGCATATTTTAAACTAAATATACCTGGACCCGTGATAACATTAACACAAAGAAAGCAAAGTTCAATTGATCCACAGTATCAGTTAAATCTGAAAGCACATGTGACAGAGTCTGAAGATGACCTACCTGACATGAATCAAATGATGTCATGAACAACAGCCCTGTGTGGTGAGAAATTTAAACAGACATAAATACACTTTGTCAGGCAAGCACATATGACATTCCTTGTGTGCCCTCAGAACCTATAGTAGGCGGTGTTGCCTACTAACCTATTTGCATATGGAAACAACTTTTTGGCGCCCTTCTGTGACACACACCTGATGTTCTTAGACTTCAAATAGTTCTTTTAGTCAGCATCAATAATTTACTATCACTGCCAGAGTGAACAGTAATGTCAATGTCAACACAACCCACAGACTCTGGAATGACTTCACTGCCATCACCATTGCCCCTGTCCATGCTGTGCACGTTGCTTCTCATACGGGAAGCATAACCTTGGCCTTCATTATCTTCATCATCACTGCTATCACTGTCCATTTTCACAGTTTCACATCACCACTTCCATGTCATTTCCTTTTAGTTTTCTTGCCACTGTAACAACTTCAATCTATCTTTTTTTGAGACGTGATTATCGTATTTATTCTCACTACACATAATATCCAGTCTGTTCTAGCATCCGTCCATGTGTTAATATATATACGTGTATCCATGCGGGAATGGAGGGACCTTCTTTCTAGGGAACAGGACCTGTCTCTGTGTTGAAGGCTTCACTGGAGATTACTGTCACAGGCGCTACAGGGATTGAGTCTTTATGTCCTTTGTATTTGTCTGCTTTTATGTAATGATGGGAATTATTTGAAATGATATACATAGAATACACAGTGCTAGCAGGCTCAAAATCTCATCAGTTTTTAATAGGTGCCATTTAGACGCCCTATTCAGAAATATATTTCAGCTACATGGCAGCGGTTTGTAAAAAAATCGAGTCTGGACCAGACAATTCAGTGATCAACAACATGCTACGCAACTTGGATACGATGACATGTATCACATGTATGTACAAGTCAGCTATCTATCGTGACCTCCCGATCCCGTTAGTTGCTTCTTTCGATAAGCTAACGACAAGTCCCAATGGTCCACAGTATGGTGATCTACATGTACCTTCAGTTGGTGGCAGTCTCTAGTCTGGAGTGTGATCTATTGTAGAGTAAAATATGTTCAGATAAACATGCTTGTTTTACATCTATATTTGTGATATTCTGTGTGATATAGCACAATATTGTTTGCGTGTGTTTTTTCTTGCGTGAAAAACGAGGGTTTCTGCGTTAACGCGAACACTGTTATTATTCAGTACTGTATCTTTTACTATGTCTGGAGTGAGGAAGTGTTTTGCTCAATATCATGACGGAGGACGTCAGAAATTTATGGGTATAACAAGGACCGGTCTGCTCTGAGTCAGTATATTCTGAGTGAGGTATTCATGCTCAACCGCGGCATGGTATCTCAGTGAGCTAGCACTGTAAAACTAGTCTTGGCTAGGACATGCAGCTACACATACACACGCATGCACGTCGTCATATGAGCGAAATATTCTTAATTACGAAGTTAAATCCCATTGCACCTCACCTCACCTCACCTCAGGCACTTAACTCATCGTATTGCGTTTTCCCTCGAACCATATATATATATATATATATATATATATATATAAGAGTTTCTGAAATAATCACACTACACAGATCTTCTCCAACATGTTTCCTAATCTTCACGACACAGATCTTCTCCAACATGTTTCACTTTTTGTCTTCAGGGAGAAGTGATTACATTTAAACGGATTATGTTATGATGTCACTTTGTCATGACGTCACAATGCAACTGCATACAAATGTTGTGATATATATATATGTATATATATATATATATATATACGCACAGAGACAGAAAGAGGTAGATTGATATGAGGCATTTTGATCAGACTAATGAAAAGAAGCATGCAAGACGTCATCTTCTGGAAGATCCAAGTGATTTGTTTCTGTGTCACAGACATGCGGTTACTTCTGAGATTACAACTAAAATATTAAATCACTATTAGACTTGATGAACAATACACGACACTCTATTTCGATATCGCAGTCACTTTTCGGTCAGTTGGTAGCAAATGTGATATTATTTATTTGTGAAGCAGCGACCATAAACGTGTGTAATACCACCCGACGAAGCCGCATTCAATGTAGTCAAGTCACCGTCCTTGACTTAAATCAGTGCATGTCTAATATGTGCTCTTTGAAACGATGAAGTCCCATATTGATGACTGTAACGTAAAGAACGAACCGACTGTCTTTTGCCGTTTGTTTACTGTCCAGTACTAGAAGTACAACGTCTCACACATCCACTCTGCAGTCTTCAGAGATGGTCAGGCTTGCTGACTATCACAATTACGTAGATTTATAATGTTGATCACTGGATTGTCTGGTCCAGACTCGATTTTTTTACAGATCACCGCCATATAACTGGAACATTGCTGAGTGCGGCATTATACAACAAAAATAACACACCAGGAGCAGAGTTGATCCCAGGGCCCAACTTCTTGAACTGGCGTCATAGATCTCACTCCATAACATTAGCCCTAAAATCTGTATAGACCAGCGTGGAGGGATGTCTAGCTTCAGTTGGAGGAAGGTGACGCAGGAAGGAGGAAGATGACATGAGGCCGACACAGATGTTTTTTTGCGATAAGCATTCTAGCAACTGCTACTGTCTCTTCTTGCTTCAAGTGGATTCTAGATAACAGAAAACAAATTTATCAAGAAACAAAAACCAGAGACATTTTTACCTGGTTACAATCGTAGTTTATTATACGCATTTTGGCCAAAAATACAACAAATACCCGGGGCCGAAAACAACAGTATATTATATACTCCAGTTCGTTCGAAGCGTGTTCAGAAGCAGATTATACACATTATTAGTCAGTATACTCCTGTAATATCACTGCAGTGACACCAGAAATGGGTGATACCCATTGCACCCATGTGGGGAATTCAAACCGGGTGTTCGGAGTGATGAGAGAACGTATTAACCGCTAGGCTACCCCACCGATCCCCGTATCGTACTTATACTCAAAACTGAAACATACAACTTTATGGATGACAACTTCTTGTTGAATGCATAGGGCGACGTTTCGATGTAGATTCTTACACCGTTGTCCATAAAGTTGTATGTTCCATTTTTGATTCGCCAACTCCTAGAATGCCGATCAAACAATAAGTATTTATAATCATAAGAAATAATGCATTGCGTGTGTTGGGTTGGACAGTATTTCAGTGTTTCATTATGCGTGCCTGAGACAAACAATCCCGTTGTGATGACGTCACTGTCTTCGTGAAATGATGAGCACAGATACAGAGCAGGCAGGATAAGAATCAACCCCGTCATTGTCGCAACTAAGGGGAGCAACTCTGCACAGACTAATTATTTGACAATCGAATATGATTTTGTACTGTAAGTCGCCATGGTCCCTAGTATGGAGATCTACCTTGAGTTGTTGGCAATCTATGCCTGTTTTTATATTGTGCTGTCCTCGGCAGTTAAAATGTTTTAGATTTAATTACTAGTTTAGACTGTCTCACAGTCCCTTAACCATATTATCCCCCCTACAGTCTAGCCCTCCCTGCAGTGCTAAAGCCCTAAATGAAGCAAGTCTAGATTTCTCCAGGTTCTGAATCTCCGGTCTCCCTGGGGCGACTTATCAATTTAAATGAGTTTATTTGTTACAGTCAAAATAATATATATATTCAGAGACTAAGCGTTGGTCTATTACTAGTTTAACATTTAAATCTGTGATATTCTAGTTGTTTAACTGTCCTTCATTGTCAGGTTTTTTTTTTATAAATAACCTTTTTATTTTTATTCATCTATAACTTGATTTAGTCACGATATGGCTGAAATATTTCCAAAGTGATTTTAAATTTTAAGTCACTTACTCACTCGGATATGATCACGTGTTTTGATTTGGCATATCCATTTGTTCCATTCAATGTTAAAATAGACATAAATTCATTGTTCGTACATAATGAAAGTCATTCAGTTCTAGACATGTCCGTGTGAGTGTTCACATCCACTTGTGGCACACCTCTACAGTTTCCACACTATTTACATGTACACATTTATAACTGTTAAAACACAGGACGTTTTTTAAAGCGCTCATAAAATATAACAGAGGGCTGGGGTAGAGGCGCTCACGTGAAATTCGATTCGTTCGATGCCTTTTATCCAAGATTAGAAAATATATTTTGATACTCGAAGATCCTCGAAAAGTTAACTTATCTATTATGCAAATACTGCGTACATAAGAGGTTGTGTTACACTGTTTTCACAGATACGGAAATTGTAATTTTGTATATGATTGACACGCACATTCGCTCTATGACTGAGGTTGACATTTAAAATAAGGTAAGCTGGAGTGAGTGAGTGAGTTTAGTTTTACACCGCTTGTAGCAATATTCCAGCAATATCACGGCAGGGGACACCAGAAATGGGCTTCACACCTTGCGCCCATGTGGGGAATCGAACCCGGGTCTTCGGCGTGGTAATAAACCACTACTGAACACAATGGTCATGGCTCTTACAGTTTGATATACTACGATTGTATGTAAAGATTCTTATGAATGAATTTTAATGTCTCCAAAGAAGCTATATAACATCTGATACCAAGTTACTAAAGATATGTCTTTGAATGACATTTAGTCAAATCTCTGGTGACATAAGAATAAATGTGACGGGTGCATTGTCTCGCGCTCACCTCTCAGGAACTGCCAGTGACGACCTCGTTGTTGGTAAAGTATATCATCAGTGTCGTGGACAATATTCTCGAACTTTGACAGATCCAAGTATCCAACATCGCACATCGATACAGTTGATGGGTGCATCAAACTGGAAACGTCATGGAACACCCAAAGTAATCAATATGATATGAACCCGCGAAGATACGGTTAAGAATGGATCTTCAGCAGCCCATGTTTACGTTAAGAGGCGACTAACGGGACAGGTGGGTCAGGTGCGCTGACGTCATTAACCACGTCATCGTTGCCTTGTTGCGTTGATCGATGCGCAGGCTGTCAATCAGTGTTCTTTTTGGTCCAGACTCGATTATTTACAGACTAAGATCATATAGATGCAACGTTGCTGAGTGCAGCGTTAAACAAACAAACAAACACTATGATACCATGACGCTTGTTAGAATGAATGTTTCAACTATTGATCAGACTACCAAGTATCTACGACATCAGCAAAATCAGCAAATAACAAACTCAAGAAAAGAATTCATACTCCCGATCGGAAAATAACACATATCTTCAACACAAACCTTTTTGCCTCAGAATGATTGGTCACATACATACGGGCCTGTTCATACTCTCAGTCATTGCTTACAAACGTACAGAGTAATTTACCTGAGTCTGTCCGTCTCCTCCCTTGACCTACACACCAGGAGAGTTTCCCCCAGCCTGCTCAGTCTCCTGGTCACCTCCAGCATCAGAGTCGTAGCTCCACTTCCGGGTTCACATCTCACCTGGACATGTTTAGAGTTCATGTTCTCCACCAAGACGACACACTGTTCTTTTGTAAGAAACCTGATACTCGTATCTATCTCTGCCAGCACAGCCCTGGTTTGAGCCATTGCTGCCCAAACAGCTGTTAGAACACGGCTGTACTTTGGTTCACTCGTGGAGAAAGTAGACTTTGGAAGGAACAACGACGATAGAGCTGCGTGAAGGAGTAACTTTCTGTGGAACGTTCGACTATCTTTCAAATCCCTTCTGCAGATAACACCATGCACGATGTTAACACTCTCACTTGTAAACGCCCGCAGTTTTGATGTCACTTCTCTGGCCACAGAAGCATTATAGTCTCTCTCTGCTCCCGTCGCAGTCGAATCATCAGCAACTGTTAGTATAATAAGGGGTTGCTTGGGCATTGCTATGAATATATCACATTTGTGTTCGAACGGTGGTGGTGACGCAGAGATATTGAATGTTGTTGCTAAGGATTCTGACAAAAACACAAGGCAAGAAGCGTCTGTGCACGTGCCAGAACATGCTCCTTTCACTATATTGTCACCTGATAAGACACAATCTTCCTGTAATAGCGACAACAAATCCGCGTCAATATCCTCCAGGTCCTTCTTGGGTCCGTCAGGCATCATGTTTATGACACCTGCAATGTAACGATTGACAGTTAAAACAGAGACGACAAAATCTCACTCTGTGTAAAAGCAGAGTCAATTGTACAATGATGACTATATCATGAGAATGTGTTTGTTGTACGCCGCATTCAGCAGTATTACATCTGAAGCTCTACGGTTCATCACAAAACAGTATCGGAGATGGCTGTCTTTTCCTTCACCAACTACTAACTACTTTGGGAAATACTTTTGAGTTCCTTTACAATGCTAGTCGTAAGGATCCTTCTTGTTTGAGTGCAGTATATTTATACCTTTCTTTTCAAAATAACTTCTGATGTCCGCTATGCTGTTTCCTATTTGTTTCAAAGGCGGACGAAGGAAATCCTTGGTGTTCAAATGGTACACTCTTTCCTCGCCCGGCTGCACCTTTCCCTAAAACAGAATATCAAGGGTTTTACTGATGTTCTGCAAAATCAAGTTCATTTGTAAAGACCGCCTCCGTGGTGTAGGGGTTAGAGCGTCCGGTCGCGGATTCGATCCCCGACCGCGTCATACCAAAAGACGTTAAAATATTGTACTTGTTGGTCCCTGCCTGGCGCTCGGCATTAATGGGTACATCAAGGACTGGTCGGCTCGGAGTCAGTATAATGTGTCTGAGTGGGGTATTCATGCTTCACTGCGGCATGGTATCTCAGTGGGCTAGCACTATAAAACCAGCTTCAGTCTGGGCTAGTACAAGCAGTCGCACATACACATACACACGCATGCACGTCGTCATATGAGCGAAATATTCTCAAGCACGACGTTAAACCCAATTTCACCTCACCTAACCTCATTTGAAAAATATCGGATGACAGACATGAAACTCAGCCACAACATCAACGCTATATGTTAAGTAATGTTGACTTATTTCTGAATGCAGTTGTAAACTACGTACCTGCAGCAACACCATCTTTGTGCAGTTCTTTGTCGGATCTGAAAACAGAATCATGCTCACTGGTTTCACAATATTTTCACAGGTAAAGCTGTCTCGAATATCAATTGCGTAGATCGATGCTTATGGTGTTGATAACTGTATTATAAGGCCCAGACTCGTTTATTTACATACCGCTGCCATATAGCTGCAATATTGCTGAGTATGGCGTTACACAACAAACAAACAAATCACAGCAAGCATCTAATGTGTAAGATTCCCTTTCTTTGCCTGTGTTTTACTGGTGTGTCATGTCTCTCGTTTACTGGTTATTCTGGCTTCGATGTATCTGCGAGTTATGCATCGAATTAAATGTGCACAATTTATGCCATCAATGAGTAGAGAGAACAACGGTGAGACTGATTCCAACTTTTACGTACATCGAAGTGCAAAGACTTTCTGAGAAACCAATGACATGTTCTTCAGTCAAACAGAGGTATAAATGATTTCATACGAGGAAACCCTAAGTGATGTTTTGATTACAACGTAATAGCATCTTTGCGCATAACTACCAGTCTCACTCTTCCTCAGCATGAGCTGATGCTGTGTTAGGGTAAGTGAGCAGTATTCCAGCTATATGGGGGCGGTCTGTAAATAATCAAGTCTGGACCAGACAATCCAGTGATCAACAGCATGAGCATCGATCTACGCCACTGGCGTGTGTCAACCACCACCCGGTCCCGTTAGTCGCCTCTCACGACAAGCATGGGCTACTGAAGATCAACTCTAATTCGGGTCTTCACGGGTGATACTGTGAAGGGGTAATACTAGCAGATACATGTCACTTCCTGGTATGGCGAGTGCTTCTGTGGTATGAGTCTTGCATTGTTACAGGGAACACGTCCTCATATACACGGTTGGAGATTGTTTAAACATGTCAGTTACGTGTTATGTAGATCAGGAACAGTGGTAGACCTAGTGGTTAAAACGCACCTTTGGTTCGTTATATGGGTACACTGTGTGAATCCCACTCTTAGGTTTTTCAGGATAGTCCTTTTGTGTATTCGATATTCTCTGTTTATTACGCACTATAGACCATGCTCCTGTTGTCCATTTACATAAACAGGTCCACGGAGGACATTACAGAGCTTCTAGTGAGTTTAGTTTTACACCGCTATTAGCAATATTAGCAAAATATGGCGTATGTGTAATATATAACGATAACTTCCATTCAAAAGCATGTTTAAAGGCATATAAAGAGTGAGTGAGTGAGTGTATGTTTACGCCGCCTTTAGCAATATTCCAGCAATATCACAGCGGAGGACATCAGAAATAGCGTTCACACATAGCACCCATGTTGGGAATCGAACCCTGGTCTTCGGCGTGACAAGCGAACGCCTTATCCTCTAGGCTTCCCCACCGCCCCACAGAGCTTCTAACATTCATGGCAAGGGATATAAATAGTGATAGGTATTACATGGCTTGATCATGTAATGATGACAACAAAATGTTAAACTTACACACGTAAAATGGACATGGTATTTACTATTTCAGTCTTTTATGTATTGTACAAATTCATATTTGTTTTCTTTTTCGATACGTCTTGTGTTACAGTGGTGACAGAATTATTAGTTTCGTGTGATTTGATATCTGACCACAGCAACATGGAGTTATGAGATGTTCGACGATAATGGGAGTATGCAGTCGGGCAGTGACCGATTCCTTGTTGATAGGTGTTATTCACAAAATTATCAGTTGTCTTACAGGTAAATAAATACGCAATGAAATAAGCACATATATTTATGTATATGCTAAAAAATATCATTGAGATATCTCAGGCCCTAACTATATTTCCCGTGTAAAAGTCTTGTGACATAAATACGCATAACATATATACACACATCCTCTGTGGGGCGGTGGGGTAGCCTAGTGGATAAGGCGTTCGCTTGTCACGCCGAGCCCAGGTTCGATTCCCTACATGCAACGATGTGGTATTGACTAAAGTAAGAATTACGCACTTCACTTCATAAGCTCCGTGAGAGGTGTGGTCGGTGTTCCATTGTACGGACATTAGAGGTGGGATGGGTGATATCTTAGTGGTGTCTCTTATATGAATATGAGTACAGAAGTTTAAATACGCTTTCTGATGAATGTTTTGTAACGCACGGTGACCTATTAAATGTGTCATATATCTACTCCGGGCAAGCTAGTTGTTGTCCCCATGAGGAGCGATCCCCGGCCTCGGGTCAAAATGATATACATGAACTTGTTCGTACTCAATGAACTCGGCCCGCACTCCAATTGCCGTCTCTTATAACAAGCACTGTGTACGTTCGCCCGTTGTGACTCAGTTATAGCTGTGATAACACTGAATGGGCATGACCTGTCAATGATGAATCTTAAAACAAAAACCGACGAATTTAACACAGGCCTTTAAGAGCGAGGGAGTTGAACAAATTGACCCATTCCAACAATGACAAAGCTATAAAGTGTCTACCCTGACGCAGTCATATAATATATATTACGCCACGGTGTCAACACCGACGTATTTGACTATTATCAGAGACTGGGCAGTTAAATCACTCATTCATTCATCTGTTCTGTACACCAGGTCAGTGTAACATAAACCACAGTAATATCAGATTGGATATTAATACACCTCATACACAGATTTGGTTCCACCAAGAAATGACAATATTTATTCATGTGTCCTATTGGACATAAAATGAAACTTATACCAAGTATATATAGATACGAATGTAGATATACTCACACTGGGGCCTGCGATTATATCGTCCGCTGTGTTACGTGGTTGTGGTAGATAAAGTTCCCTTTCTTCACAAACATGAACCAGTTATGACCTCTTGTCCACGATTCACGAACGCAGGTAATAATTAATGATAGTTCATGCCTAAAGTCTCTGTCGACAAAAAAGATATGGGAAATATTTCTCACTAAATATATTCTCAATGGGTATTCAACTCAACTAACATTTAATTACTGGGCAACACACACATCGGCCTCGAGGAACTAATGTGATGCAGATACGGATATGTGTTGTGATTCAATACCCTTCTATTCATGGGAGTGGGGAACATATCCTGTTAAATTGTATACGAGGTTGTGTATGCTGAACTCGTATTTGCGTCACTGTCATTAAATCACGTCCCTTGAGGAAGTGCGTGTTATCGCCAGGAACGTCAGTATGCACGTGAACGTCTGTAAAATAGGTTACATTTGGGATTACGCTTTCTTTTTATCCGGGTACGGCCAACTTATCGCCGGAACAGGTGCCTGACTCTGAGAGTGCGGTTTGAATCCTAGATGGGAATCAACTTAACAAAAGTACTAGAATGGGTACTTTACTGAGAAAGTGTAGTTCCCAATGTAGCATATGTTACATGTGATTACTTTCTAAATGGCGTTGTATATTTATGTACATGTGGTATTTTAGTGGAGCTATGGAGGAGAACTGTGACTGATCAGAAGAATGCTGAATGCTATGAAGGGATGGCTGTAATCACAAATGTGATCCGCGTATGAACCTTGATCTAGTCTGTGAAGTGTTATCCCTCTCTTTATCTAGTTATACTCAGCCCACCCAGTGCGTTGTCATTTAAACAAATTATCAACTTCAAGTGGACTTGTTGTTGTTGTTGTTATCCCCCGCAACGCGTTTTGCGGTGGGTATTAAAATGGGACTCCGTCCGTCCGTCCTTCCATCCGTGCACATTTGTCTTTTCCGGAGCAGATCTCTAAAACCGTTCAATATTTCTTCACCAAACTTGGCGCATACATGGATCTGGTGGTGTACTTGTGCCTTTTGGTATTTTTGGAATTCTGAATAAAATATGTTTGGCGCTTCCATGGCAACAAGTTCGACTTAGACTAATATTAGTGGTAGTGCTCTTTTCCGGAGCAGAACTCTAAAACCGTTCACTATTTCTTCACCAAACTTGGCACATACATAGATCTGCTGGTGTACTGGTGCCTTGTGGTAGTTTCGGATTTCTGAATAAAATATTTTTGGCATTTCCATGGCAACAAGTTCGACTTAGACTGAAATTGGTGATAGTGCACCTTTCTGGAGCAGAACTTTGAAACCTTTCAGTACTCACCTTCCACTTTTCTATATACACACCTAAATATTTGACATTATCATAACTCGTAGACATAATCATGAAGAGTATTTCGCCATTGCGGGGGATATTGATGACTTTGTCTTCTTGTTACCATTATCAAATCCTTAATGGTCCTATTGTAAGTGTTACCGTTGTCATCTGCTTCATGACCCTACACTAAGTGTTACCATTGCCAACACCTTGATTGCCTTATTGTTATTGTTACCATTGTCAACTCCTTTATGATCCTATTGTAAGTGTTACTGTTGTCATCTCCTTCATGACCCTACTCTTAGTGTTACCATCGTCAACACCTTGATTGACATATTGTTATTGTTACCATTGTCAACTCCTTAATGGTCCTATTGTAAGTGTTACCGTTGTCATCTGCTTCATGACCCTACACTAAGTGTTACCATTGTCAACACCTTGATTGCCATATTGTTATTGTTACCATTGTCAACTCCTTAATGGTCCTATTGTAAGTGTTACCGTTGTCATCTGCTTCATGACCCTACTCTTAGTGTTGCCATTGTGAACACATTGATTGCCCTGCTCTTAGTGTTATCACTGTCAGCTCCTTGATTTCTGTATTGGTAGTGTTACCACTGTCAGTTCCTTAATTGCCCTGTTGATAGTGTTACCACTGTCAGTTCTTTAATTGCCCTATTGTTAGTGTTACCACTGTCAACTCTTTCATTGCCCTATTGTAAGTGTTACCATTGTCAACTCCTTCATTGCCTTACTGTTAGTGTTACCACTGTCAACTCCTTCATTGCCCTATTGTTAGTGTTACCACTGTCAACTCCTTCATTGCCCTGTTGTATGTGTTACCACTGTCAACTCCTTCATTGCCCTACTGTTAGTGTTACCACTGTCAGCTCCTTCATTGCCCTGTTGTTAGTGTTACCACTGTCAGCTCCTTCATTGCCCTGTTGTTAGTGTTACCACTGTCAGCTCCTTCATTGCCCTGTTGTTAGTGTTACCACTGTCAGCTCCTTATAGTCCCTATTGTTAGTGTTACCACTGTCAACTCCTTCATTGCCCTATTGTTAGTGTTACCACTGTCAGCTCCTTTATTGTCCTATTGTTAGTGTTACCACTGTCAGCTCCCTTTTGCCCTGTTGTTAGTGTTACCACTGTCAGCTCCTTCATTGCCCTATTGTTAGTGTTACCACTGTCAACTCCTTCATTGCCCTGTTGTTAGTGTTACCACTGTCAGCTCCTTCATTGCCCTGTTGTTAGTGTTACCACTGTCAGCTCCTTCATTGCCCTATTGTTAGTGTTACCACTGTCAACTCCTTCATTGCCCTATTGTTAGTGTTACCACTGTCAGCTCCTTCATTGCCCTGTTGTTAGTGTTACCACTGTCAACCCTTTCATTGTCCTATTGTTAGTGTTACCACTGTCAACTCCTTCATTGCCCTATTGTTAGTGTTACCACTGTCAGCTCCTTTATTGCCCTATTGTTAGTGTTACCACTGTCAGCTCCTTCATTGCCCTGTTGTTAGTGTTACCACTGTCAGCTCCTTCATTGCCCTGTTGTTAGTGTTACCACTGTCAACTCCTTCATTGCCCTGTTGTTAGTGTTACCACTGTCAGCTCCTCTTTGCCCTATTGTTAGTGTTACCACTGTCAGCTCCTTCATTGCCCTGTTGTTAGTGTTACCACTGTCAGCTCCTTCATTGCCCTATTGTTAGTGTTACCACTGTCAGCTTCTTCATTGCCCTATTGTTAGTGTTACCACTGTCAACTCCTTCATTGCCCTATTGTTAGTGTTACCACTGTCAGCTCCTTTATTGCCCTATTGTTAGTGTTAACACTGTCAGCTCCTTCATTGCCCCGTTGTTAGTGTTGCCAATGTCAGCTCCTTTATTCCCCAATTGTTAGTGTTACCACTGTCAACTCCTTCATTGCCCTATTGTTAATGTTACCACTGTCAACTCCTTTATTGCCCTATTGTTAGTGTTGCCACTGTCAGCTCCTTTATTCCCCAATTGTTAGTGTTACCACTGTCAACTCCTTCATTGCCCCATTGTTAGTGTTACCACTGTCAACTCCTTCATTGCCCTATTGTTAATGTTACCACTGTCAGCTCCTTTATTGCCCTGTTGTTAGTGTTAACACTGTGAGCTCCTTCATTGCCCTGTTGTTAGTGTTGCCACTGTCAGCTCCTTTATTCCCCAATTGTTAGTGTTACCACTGTCAGCTCCTTCATTGCCCTATTGTTATTGTTACAACTGTCAGCTCCTTCATTGCCCTATTGTTAGTGTTGCCACTGTCAGCTCCTTCACTGCCGTATTGTTAGTGTTACCACTGTCAGCTCCTTCATTGCCCTATTGTTAAGTGTTACAACTGTCAGATCCTTCATTGCCCTATTGTTAGTGTTACCACTGTCAGCTCCTTCTTTGCACTATTGTTATTGTTACAACTGTCAGCTCCTTCATTGCCCTATTGTTAGTGTTACCACTGTCATCTCCTTCACTGCCGTATTGTTAGTGTTACCACTGTCAGCTCCTTCATTGCCCTATTGTTAGTGTTACCACTGTCAGCTCCTTCATTGCCCTATTGTTAGTGTTACCACTGTCAGCTCCTTCTTTGCCCTATTGTTATTGTTACCACTGTCAGCTCCTTCATTGCACTATTGTTAGTGTTACCACTGTCAGCTCCTTCATTGCCCTATTGTTAGTGTTACCACTGTCAGCTCCTTCATTGCACCGTTGTTAGTGTGACCAGTGTCAACTCCTTCATTGCCCTATTGTTAGTGTTACCACTGTCAACTCCATCATTGCCCTATTGTTAGTGTTACCACTGTCAGCTCCTTCATTGCCCTATTGTTAGTGTGACCAGTGTCAACTCCTTCATTGCCCTATTGTTAGTGTTACCAGTGTCAGCTCCTTATGATATAAATAATATTTTGAATAGGGACATAAGTATTGAAGAGGTGGAGTTTGCTCTTGGTAGTTTACGACCTTGTAAAAGTCCTGGTCCAGATGGTATTCCACCTGAGATGTTAAGAGCTAACAAATTGTTTTGCAGTCATATTTATGTACTTCAGATCGGTGGTCACTAAGTATTATATTTCCATTGCATAAAAAAAGAAGCATTCATGAAGTAAATACTTATCGTGGTATCTCTCTTATGGATATCTGTGGCAAAGTTCTTACTTCCATTTTGAACAGGCGTTTGAAAGAGGTTGAAGTGTTAGGTCTGTACCCTTAGTGTCAATGTGGCTTCCGTAAAGGCTATTCTACGGTCGATAACATTTTTACACTTCAAAGTGTTATACAGAAATATTTGTCAAAAACAGGAGGCAGATTTTATTGTTTAGTTGTTGATCTCCGTAAGGCGTTCGATTCAGTTAATAGAGATCTTCTTTGGTTTGTTCTGTTATGTAAAAGTGTCCATGGTTCTATGTTCAATATCATTAGAGATAATATTCAAAGACAAAGGCTAGTGTTAAGCTAAACAATTTAAATGTTTCGGAATATTTTGATTCTTTCAGAGGGGTTCGGCAAGGTTGTATTTTAAGTCCTCTTCTATTTGCGTTGTTTGTTAACCAGTTGTATACGGAAATAATTACTTGTGGTGACAGGGGTGTATCTATTGACCCAGAGTTTATGGAATTGTATTTGCTACTGTATGCAATTGATTAATGGCAGAATCTGCAAACAAACATAAGTCTTCAGAGGAAGATCAACGTATTACTACAGTTTTGTAAAAAATGGGGCTTGTCTGTAATTTTGAGAAAACGGAGGTGTTAGTTTTTAGAAATGGTGGTAAATTAAGGCGGTATGAATCGTGGTACTTTGGGGATCATAAGTCAAACGTTTCTACATATTATAATTATTTGTGTTTATTGTTTTCAAATAGACTTTCGTGGTCTAAATCGGTTCAAAATCTGGTAAATAAAGCGAATAACGCCTTGTGCTGAGTTAAGGTTTTTTGGTAGGAGTCTTAAAAATAATTTTCTCCAACTATTTTGTTCAAAATCTTTGACGTCCAGACAAATCCGTTAAATTTGTACGCTTCGGAAATATTGGGTTTTCTGAAATGGCATGTTATTGAACAGTTTCACATTAGATGTTGTAAGTATGTGTTGGGCGTAAGTTATAAATGCTCTAACGCTGCTCTGTTGGCGGAATGTGGTAGAAATTATATTTATGTTGATAGTATTACGTGTTTTGAAGTATTGGTTCAAACTTTAACGCTTACCAAGGGATAGAAATCCAAAGCAGTGTTATATTATGTTGCACAATTTAGACAAAGTTGGTAGGAAAACGTGGGTATATTTTGTCCGAAATACGTTGTTCAATTATGGTTTTGGTTTTGTGTGGGAAGCTCAAGGCGTTGGCAACGAGGAACAGTTTTTGAAAGCTTTTTATGTAAGAGTTGGTGATTGTCAAAAAGCAATTCATATTTTCAGAAATGCACAAATGTTCATCGCTTGATGTCTATTCCAGTATCAAAAGTGTATTTTGCATTGAACCATATTTAACTTTATTGAAATCTGAAGATGCAAGGCGTCGAAAAACAATGTTACGAATCGGTGCACTTCAAATATATAAACATACTGGTAGATTTGATGGAGTTCCGAGGCACCAAAGACTTTGTAATATTTGTAATGATAATTTTGTAGAAAATGAATTTCATTTCCTATTTGAATGTAAAGTTTATCATGATTTGCGCTGTAAATATTTTAAGGCATTACCAAATTACATAGATCAACAATACTTTCTGAACAAATTATCTTGTACCAAGTTTTCAACACTAACATATTGTTCTTCTTACATTACCACTGTCAGCTCCTTCATTGCCCTATTGTTATATGGATATAAAATAGAGAAACGTAAAACCTTACTCACTCAGTCAAGTAATTAGTACACGCATGCGCATTCATAAACACGCTTTATTCAGCAAACCTATATACAATCTAGATAATCTTTACTCAAACAAAACATCATTTTAACAAATGAATTCACTTGACGTTTACAAACTGTGCAGTCAGCATGAAAACAGGAATGAAAATAAGCACAACTGCATAAAACATGTACAGTGGGAAACAAGTATTCTATTTTCATTTCATTTTTTGTGTTCTGTCACGTTTTGAATTGTACTGTGGGTGAAACGTTGAAAATCAATCTATGTAGTGTTACTTTATTTGTTTCCCTCAGCATATTTGTATTCAAAAGAAGTGGGACACCCATGTCTATAGATAACTAGCACACTTGCCAACGGCTGAAGGGATGGTGTAAATCCGGATAGGGTGCATGCAGGAAGCAAGGTATGGTTAGTCCCCATGGTTCTTTGCATAATCTAAATCTGTGATATTACTGTCCTTCGTGTTTATATTCTTACTTTATGTGCTATGAATGTATAACTTGTTTAGTCACTATATGACTGAAATACTGACAATATAACTGGCAATCTTAACTCACTCAACCACACTGCACTATAATCAACAGAATAGAAATGCAACACCTGAACCACTGCAGGTAGAGCAATATAACATCTTTAAACATGGATACATTAAATAGATAACAGATCTTGAGAATGAAAGGATTTCACAGCGTGAATTAACTTGTTGTCCCAATAAATGTTAAACGTACATTAAGCTGAACTAGAAAGACGATTTCATCGCAAAACCAACACTTTCAAAAAGATATTTGAAACAAAACCAAGCAAGGAATGGCAATGATAAGTAACATTGTATCCATCTGTCTTTCCATCCAATAAGCCATCAATCAGAATCATTCTATAGTGTATTACAGAAAACACACTTCTTCATTCTCTGGACATAGTATGCAGCTCAATGAAAATGTGTTACAGACACAAGCCATTATAAGTTGTTCACTGGTCACGAGGGGGACATGGTTTTATGTACCTTCTATGTTTGTATATGTAAACATAAACAAACATAGAGGGTACATCACCTGATGGTACATTGATTGGCACAGTCAATCAGAAAACGACATTTAGGTGTGAGGTTAGATAATAACAGATATAGTCAATAGTCAATAGGCACGAATGACCCAGTGGTCAAAGGCGCTGTAATTCACTGTGAATAGTTGCGTCCCTTGGACACTCCTGAAACCTTGTCCTCGTGGATTTGAATTCCGTGTTGCCCCGATTATGTCTTGGTTTCAGCCTCGAGGATGTTATTAAAGTCTCTTATCGTGTGAGGTTTCAGTTAGATGCCTATGCTGTTGTCAAACAAGAGGGATTTTATCTTCCAGAATGTCAATGAAACATATCAAAGTACCAAACGACAATGACCCGTTTTACTTCTGGAGTTTTCCCACAATAAGCCGTGATGTAAGTGGCTCTCACTTTACTGTTTTTACTGAAAAAAACCGGTTAGATGACAAGGTCGTTGATCCGTGTGGCGGGTGGTACCAGTAGGGCAGGACATTCTCTTTTCATGGACACCTGGTCTTTGGGAAGGTATTAAGGCATCAGTTCATATAATAGCCTTTATTTTGTACATCCGATGGTGTGGTTTGCATATATTTTGATAGCATTGCCTTCAGTAAACAATCAGTTCATCTGAGTGATTTCTCTACTATTTGAGACTTTGGCATAAAAGTGCTCTTTTGGTGTCAGTCATTGTGATGTCCACCCCATTGATCAGCGTCATCTCCACTGAGAAATCCTCTGACCTCCGCCAGACACCAAACATTGGGAAAAGGGTCTCCTTAAACTGAACATCATACCTAGCCAAAACAACCTTCCTGTTCAGATCAATAAAGGCGACCCTCCCTCTCACCACATCCAGAACAACGCCATAGCAGAGGGTGGCCTTTGTTCCAGGAATGTCTGACATGGTGTCGATCATACAGTCTCCCCAATCCCCTTCCTTGTACGCACGGGTACAGATCTTCCCACCGTGTTTCTTACACCTCCATACAGTGACGCACCAGGAGCGAGGCTGATTACAAATCCAGGTCCTGCTGTCAACCAGTCCTGCCTCGGAGAGTCCCATCTCTAGGATGGGCGGCCATCCCTGACCCCCGACAACACCTACATCTGTATGTGTCTCCCAGTATTGAACTGGGAGGCTGCCAGAGTCGCCTGTCAGATGTTCGGGAAGTAGAATAGGAACATGACTGCAGGTGCCACTATACTCCTCCAATCCTGTATCATCCTTGGCTTTTGTTGCTGGTGGCGAATTCACTAACTTTCCATCTGCAGTGACGTGACACCTTCTTTGGTTGGCTCGTTTGGCGTCAAGTAAAAGTGTAGGACCTGAAACGAAAAACGTATATTTCTTGTACTGAATGTATGTATCAGCTTCCATATATTTGTTTGCCAGTGGTAAATATCAAACTAAGAACTACAATTAAATACCATAGACGTTGATGATATTTCAAAATAGTTTCAGACCGCAGATTATTTCTTCATCCAATGTAGGTATATGTTAGTTTAAAGTCGTACTTAATCATTTGATTTTTCCATATGATTCCAATAGTGTTATTTGACCCCCTTACATGACACGGGATGACATCGGGATGAATCCAGTTCTCCCACAACGTGAAGAGGACAACCAAAGGCTGAAATGACATAATGATTATATTTAGTAACTGTGACATCGGTAGATTTCTATTAAGACTCATCCAATTACTTAGTGCCCAGTAACGATATTTAAAATTCGTGAATAGCTTATTGTTTCTGTGTTACATGTTGTGTTATAATTGAATCACCATTGCAAACACAATACAATTTTAACGCTAATACAACATCTTCAATATTATACTCGGGTTATTGTGGTGTCGTTTGCTCGCACATCACAGACTTCTAATAGAACGACGCGCTCGTAACTGTCCCCAGAGAATACATGTATATATCTCAGTTGTCAAATAGCAGCTGATAATGATAATTATGAACCAACCTTTCTCCATATGTCCACATTTGTCTTGCAGATCACCAATGTTCTCATTATCCGCGACTGCTATCTAATAAATATAAAATACCTAATTAGTGTGGTGATATATCACAGTTTTCGCTGACATGTAACCAATGCATATGTGCGCATTCTCACAATGATACATGGTGATGATGTGCTATTGTAATCACTATGTTCCGTGTTTCTTAAGAGTAGATTTGTGTCCTCGTTAATGTCGAACTGTTCATAGTATTTTTATAGCACAATGTAAATTGTAAATAACACTGAAATGTGAAAATGTGTGCATTAAAATGCGTGTGTATATAACGGACTTGCGTATATATGTTGAGTTGTGTGTAAAATGTTGCTCTTCCATGTACATGGAACTGTGAGTGGAGTTGTGAGTTCAATGGCCTTCTTGTGCAAGAAGGGTGGTGGGGTGGCCTAGTGGTTAAAGCGTTTGCTCGTGACGCCGAAGGCCCGGGTTCGATTCCCCACATGGGTACAATGTGTGAAGCCCATTCCTGGTGTCCCCCACCCTGATGTTGCCGGAATATTGCTAAAAGCGGCGTAAAACTGTATTCACTCACTCACTTCTCTGTAAGAAGTAAAATGTTCCTATTTTATGTACATGGAACTGTGATTCCAATGGCCTTCTTGTGCAAGAAGTAGATTGACCGTCGTGTACATAGTGCTGTACATGAAGGTGCGAATTGTTTTCCTCGTATACATAGAACCGTGGGTAAAAGTGTCCTCTTATACACGGAGCTGTCAGTAAAGTGTTCCTTGTATACGGGGTGAGTACAGTGAGTGAAGTAATCTTCGTGAACATACAGTTGGGAGTAGATTTTTCTCTGTATGTGTTCTATTTAAACTTACCTGTCCGAGCATTCCATAGATGCACATCACATTTAGCCTTCCCAACTGAAAATTCCTCAATTGATAGACAGGACTTTCTTGTTTGCAGCGACTTTTCCCGATAGGATGTGCTGGAGAAGAAAATGGAAGAATAGGAAGGACGGTCAGTATAAAGAAACATTGATTCTCATTACAATGGTACTAATTATGCTAGGTAGCAATACCATGTCATAAACAGTAACTTCACATGACACCCAATAACAGGAGACAAAAATTTGCAGAAAATGAATCGATGGGAATTCATACAATTTACTGAACATTTAGATGAAGATATAGCTTAAAATATCAGCATTTTGTTTGTTTTGGGCTCTGCGATGATTTAAGGTTACAACTATGTGCTGATCGGTGTTCATCCAACGCTAAAAGTATTGTATTTAATGACAACTTTGTTGACACAGCTGTGTTCAATGCACAGAAAACTTTGACAAAAATGTTTTTTTTATGCAAGCAATATCTTCTGGAGTCAGTATACCACACTCACAAATGGAAAGTGCTCTTGTACTGTCCACATCCTTTGCAACAGAAGCCACCTGAAAGTTAAATACTAGACACTGGAATGAAACTTATAATATGCCCTCAAGAAATGCCCTAAACTAACATATTTAATTTATAAATCAGTGTAAAATGACGATGGCGAGGTGATCAGACAGGTGTAGTCAGGCAAGGACACATATAGTTCATGGGTGAATGTTGTTCAACTTTACAGTAAGTGTTCCAGCTACATCAAGACTCCCTGGAGTTAATCTGTTATTCACCACACAAACGTGCTGATGATATATGTAATCGACCCCCTTTGCCGTCAGGACATTATGATACACCATCGACCAGGTTATCGACAACCCCATCTATTTCAGTCGCGTTTACGACCAGCATGGATAACTGGGGCTCAGATCGAACCCGGATTCCCCACGGGTATCATCCATAGAACGAATGCTACAACACTACAAAGCGGAACTGGTTTTGTAGTTGTTGAACTTGGATTTGAATTACTTTAATAATGTCAGTATTACATGTGTAGCATATGATAATTTATAGCTACCTCTATATTTAAGTCTGGGCTAGTACAAGCAGACACACATACACACGCATGCACGTTTGTCATCTGAGCGAAATAGTATAAAGTCCCACGTTAAACCCATTCACATCACCTCACTACATTTAACACCATGGCCGAGCCTTTTTCTTCATGTTCTGCGACCTAGTTATGTGCAGGGCGGCAGGGTAGCACAGAGGTTGAATCGTTCGCTTGTCACGCCGATGTCCCGGGTTAGATTCCTCACATGGGCACAGTGAGTGAAACCTATTTCTAGTGTCTCCATTGTGATATTGCTGGAATATTGCTAAAAGCGGAGTAAAACTAAACTCACTCCCTAGTAATGAGTAACTGTCACACATGGTCAATATTCTTTTAATGTACGTCTGAAATAGTTTACCAAAATATCATAAATCCTACCTCATCTGTGCCTACATCACCACTTTTCTGGCTTTTTGTGTCAGTTTGGTCACCTCTCTGATCTGAAATGGAGCAACATTCTATCTAAATCTGTGCTATGTTTTCGTACAAAGCAAATCTTTTATTGGAATACTCAGAACCTGGAATCAACAATTTGTTTTTCAGAACTGGTTTGTTTCTTTTCAAAATGGGTTTTATAACTTACTTTATCTTGCCTCACACATAAATGTCGTTTTGTGATCGGCTGAGCGCTCTTCTATTATTTTCAATGTACTCCGCTTACAAGCGAGCAACATGTTCTATGTACCCCGCTAGAAAGGCCGAACTCATTTGGTACTTCGTAGCAGTGATTCTGTTTAACTCGAATAACATTGAATCACGTATGATGTACGGAAATTACCGATGTTTTGCAAATGCAAATCGATGGAAGGTAGATAACTCTAAATTTGTTTTTCTTGTCGTCTTGTCGTCTGGTACTCCATACTATGATCCGATACCCGTGCTTCAAACAGTTCAAAATTGCCATTGAGGTGTTCGGTAAGATAATGATGCACCAAGGCTCCTCTTGTGTAGCCTTCTGCAACATTGTACATAAATCATGTGTGCTCTGCTTTAGTCTTGTAGATGAATAGTGTGTAGTGGTCTTCAGCGTTCTACGTCATTCTTGTGTCTTGTTCTTCAACCTTATTATATTGTCTTGTTCTTCAACCTTAATATATTGTCTTGTTTTTAAACCTGAATATATTGTCTTGTTCATCAATCTTAATATATTGTCTTGTTCTTCAACCTGAAAATATTGTCTTGTTCTTCAACCTGAATATATTGCCTTGTTCTTCATTTTTATACTTTAATCTTGTCTTTTGTTCTTCAACCTTATACTTCGGGCTCAGGGAACATAAACAAACATCGAGGGTACATCAGCCCACGTCCCCATCGAGACCAGTAAACAACTTATAATATTTGGTAGCTTAGCGGTGTCTCTTTTCATACCAGTACTAAGATTAATGCGTACTGATTAAGAACAAAACTATCAACGTATAAGGTTGAATATGATACAATATTCTCTGAGAATTCCTTTGTCAAGCTAGGTTATTGGAGAAACACAGAGACGTTTGTGTAAACACTGAACATATTGCGAGATAAGAAACTGCATAGATCGTTACTCGCATACTTATTACCCTATAGAATTACCTTCACAGATACCTTCCTGGCGAGAATGTGTTTCGTGCACAAACGGGTCGTGTCGCTCTCGTTGATCCTAAAACGAAACAAGAGAACTTATGAGTACATTTATTTGACACTTACACTTGGGGGTTACTTCAAGTAATTTGCTGTCATCTCTGAATGTGACGTTAGCAACTAAAGTACATAACATCAATGGGCGTTTACACATTACCAAATGTGTCTTTGCTTGTTATTGCACCTACTGCTTTTATTTGATATGAATGCCCTGTTCGTCATAATGTTATATATTGAGGGTAATTATTTTATAGAGTAAAGTAAATATAACTCATTGTCATCATGCAGATTTGTGCATCAGCAATGAAGATGAGAATACTTACATAATGGAATCCTCTCGTATCCTCTCCAAACCAGGAGAGTGTGGCTGTATGTCTCTTCAAGTAGTTCAACGTGTTTTGCCACTCAACTGGGAAACAATAACTACGAGTGAACAATTTATCTTTAATAAGATACAAAGTTTATATTGAGTGTCTGAAAAGTATGTTGAATAAAACTGAAGGAGCGGTCACTCGTCAGAGTATGAGATCTAGACTACCAGTTGTCAGACTGACATTTTTAAGGAAGCCGTGGTGGCTGAGTGAGTTAGATCGCTGACTGTGGGTGTGGAGATTAGATGCCTTACTCTGAGAGCGTGGGCTCTAGTCCCGAGTGAGATTCAACAACCAAAAGGCACTAGGTTCTATACTTAAACGAGAAAGTGAAGTCCCAAATATAGGATGATCAGGCCACTGTTGTACGGTGTAATGTACCTTCCTGAATGTTGAAATGCAAACAAATTGTAATTAAATTTAGCCCAGTTTTGTAGTTGGAAGAGGATGAGTGTCGAACGAAGGGAATTATGTTTATTTTCTTACCAGTATCATCTTAACTTAAACTAAGGCACATTTGTGTTGTCTGTAGTTGGTTACGGTACATGTCAGTGCATAGAAATGCACCTGTGGATTCATACTTGTCGTTGCCTGGAACACTCCGCCAGAACATTTTGTATGAGTCCTTCTGTCAGCTGAATATCAGGTAGTTTACTTACCAGTGAGAAGTGGAATCAGCTGCCGTATGTTTTCATCTCTTGCCTAAAACAGAACAAATCCTTTATAATTAAAAAAACAATTTTCATTTTCTCAAAGACGATGAGAGATATTTTAAATATTATTCTATTAACGGAAGTTCTTTTGAGCATAGGATCTGTTTGTGTCTTGCAATAAATGCAGTGCAACATTATATAAATGTGAAGTGGTACCTTCTCAAAAGTTTCCAATCTGTCTTGGAGTTTCCCAGTTCCTTCAAATGCTGAAGGGGAAAAGTGCAAATCTATCAGGATAGACACATAATGGACACATTTCGTTTCGATGATACTTGAATGTGTAAATCCTCGTACCATTTCAACGAAATATTGAATAATCATTACTATTTACGTTGTTAAAAGCTTTTGCGACATCAATATGTGAAACCGTTTTAGTTACACACATAATATTGGGATCGCCAGAGCACGAATTCCGTTGGGGAAGTTAAGAGAATATTGTAAATATTAGAAGTAGAGAAAATGATTATGGGACTGGCAGTGAAAACTGCGAAGAGTGCAAATTCGTCAGTGACCAAAAGCATTGTTTTACTTACTCCACTGTGTTTCTTCAGATTTTGGGTTGGGAGGTTGAGCCTGGGTTTCAGGGATTGCCGATGGATGCTGTTTGGATATGTACTGAAAAGAAAACACATGAACGGATTGTACACAGTCGGCATTAATGGGTACAACAAGGACTGATCAGCTCGGAGTCAGTATAATGTGTCTGAGTGGGTTATTCATGCTTAACTGCGGCATGGTATCTCAGTGAACTAGCACTATAAAACCAGCTTAAGTCTGGGCTAGTATGCACGTCGTCATTTGAATGAAATATTCTTACGTGCAACATTAAACCGCATTTCTCCTCACCTCACCTACAGGTATATTGGTATAGATTCACGTATAGTATGAAGGGATCACGATTCTACCAGTTCTCTTGCACAGAAGGAATCATGGTGAATTGTGACAAACTAAACTTACTCTAACTACACTATCTTCATTGTCTTCTTTGGAGCTGCGTCTGTGCCTCAGCTTCCCGGAATATTTCCTCTTGAGCTTCTTTTTTTGTCTATGTTTCTCTCTCATCTCAGCTGGAGGATGAAAAATAACATTAGAGTGCTGCCTCACCCACACACTCTGTATGGGTACAATGTGTGAAGCCGATTTCTGGTGTTTCCCGCCATGATATTGCTGGAATATTGCTAAAAGTGGCGTAAAACCACCACTCACTCACTCACAATCTGTAACTTAAAAATTCTACTACCTCTGGGTTCATTCTCATCCGGAATTCGAACCCTCACTCTCAGAATGAGGCACCAAATCGCAAGCACACAAACTCGGCGACCTAAACCACGGCTTTAGTGTAGTTAGTGAGTGAAGTTTTACGTCCCTTTTAGCAATATCACGGCGGGGGGACATCAGAAATGGGCTTCACATATTGTACCCATGTGGGGAATCGATCTAGGGACTTCGGCGTGACGATCGAATATCAAGTGTAATCCCTGACATATTATGTTAGTTGCCAAACTTCCTAACTGACATTGTGTATTCATAACCTTACTTTTACAGTTGGCTTAATTGTAAACATATTTTGCTGAAATGCATTTAATAACAACAAACTGAAATTACATTTAGTTCAGAAACCCAAATAAACAACTTGAAAAACTTCATTGACGACTACAAACCTTTCCCGGGGTTCAGACACTGTTCGTTTCTGTTATGTTTTCCCTCCTAAAATTGAATAGTATATTTGTGCGAGTGAATAGTAATTGATTGCTTTTAAGAACATCACACGGATATAAGCCACCTGAATACGGGGAGTTGTATTTGACACATACAAAGACAAACGAATTGTTCACCTGAATACGGGGAGTTGTATTAGACACATGCAAAGACAAGCCAGTTGTTCTCCTGAATACGGGAAGATGTATTTGACACATGCAAAGACAAACCAGTTGTTCACCTGAATACGGGGAGTTGTATTTGACACATGCAAAGACAAGCCAGTTGTTCACCTGAATACGGGAAGATGTATTTGACACATGCAAAGACAAGCCAGTTGTTCTCCTGAATACGGGGAGATGTATTTGACACATGCAAAGACAAGCCAGTTGTTCTCCTGAATACGGGAAGATGTATTTGACACATGCAAAGACAAGCCAGTTGTTCTCCTGAATACGGGGAGATGTATTTGACACATGCAAAGACAAACGAATTGTTCACCTGAATACGGGGAGTTGTATTTGACACATGCAAAGACAAGCCAGTTGTTCTCCTGAATACGAGGAGTTGTATTTGACACATGCAAAGACAAACGAATTGTTCACCTGAATACGGAGAGTTGTATTTGACACATGCAAAGACAAACCAATTGTTCACCTGAATACGGGGAGTTGTATTTGACACATGCAAAGACAAACGAATTGTTCACCTGAATACGGAGAGTTGTATTTGACACATGCAAAGACAAACCAATTGTTCACCTGAATACGGGGAATTGTATTTGACACATGCAAAGACAAACCAGTTGTTCACCTGAATACGGGGAGTTGTATTTGACACATGCAGAGACAAACCAATTGTTCACCTGAATACGGGGAGTTGTATTTGACACATGCAGAGACAAACCAATTGTTCACCTGATTACGGGGAGTTGTATTTGACACATGCAGAGACAAACCAATTGTTCACCTGAATACGGGAAGTTGTATTTGACACATGCAAAGACAAACCAATTGTTCACCTGAATACGGGGAGTTGTATTTGACATCATTTTGTTACTGATGTGTCCTATTTGGAAATGGTTTCAAGATGTGCATTAAATATAAACGTGTACAATCTGAACGTATCAGGCCTTGGAATGGCATTTAGAAGTGATACACAGACTGAAGAGAGTTTTGTTCCTCATAATAGAGAAGTTGGCATCCATAAAACTCTCTTCCTTAATCTGAACATACCTGCAGCGTGCCCTGCTCGTTCCTAGGATCTTTGTCCTCAGAACCCTTGGTAGCTGAAACAGAATGTTTGAACATCAATAGATGACCATACACCATTATCATTTTTGGGTTTAAACATAATACAATACAATTTTCTCCTTTCTTGACAATATATGAAATATTCATAATTTCACAAATAGTTGTATACTCCACGCATTCCATTTCATTTAACCGATCTCATGCTGACGAAGTTACTTAGCTACACCAATAATTACATACCTTTTTCCAAGAATGTCATTTTAGCTCTCAGGTACATCAGCTCAGCCTTCCTTTCCATGATAAACTTTAAAAAAATAATGAACTGGATAAACATCCATATAAAGTAAAACAAAATTTTATGATTGCATTTTTGAAAGATTTTTAAGTGAAATATGGAACTTTCTATTTTCGAAATAGAACAAATAAAAGTGAATACTGATCATAGGCATGTACAATGTATCTTGAATGTTATTTCGTACCGTTGCCAGAGTGGGAAAAGGGTCCTTTCGGTCTTCTATTCTTTCCATTAACTTCCCCATGTGAGGTTCCACCCCACCAGACTCCCGTGATGCTGAAAAATGTATTATTACCAGTGAGTAAACTGTTTCTGACATTTTCGGCAGTTGAAAGGCAATCGAGAGAAATACTACTGTTTATACTGAAAAAAGAACAGTGTTATTGTGAATGTGTTTATATATCTATTAATATATTAATCGATGGTTACTTTAAGTGAGTGAGTACATGTAAGTGAGTGAGTTTAGGTTTGATCCGCTTTTATCAATATTCCAGCAATATCACGGCGGGGGACACCAAAAATGGGTTTCGCACATTGTACCAATGTGGGGATCAAACCCGGGCTTTACGCTTTAACCACTAGAACATGAATACATGACAAGTTTTATGGATAACAACTTCTTTCTTATTCTTTTCACGACATTCACCTGATGAAGGAGCAAGAATTAGCTCTGGAACGTCATGAAAAGAATACAAAAGAAGTGTTATCCATAAAATGTGTCATGTATTCATGGACTAGACAAGAGTCGGACAAGTTCAACTAGACTAGACTGAATTCCATTGTGCTTTGTTTATTTGCCGTTTAACGCCACAGTCAGCAATATTCCAACTGTATGTGGGCTGTCTGTAATTATTCCAATGTTGGACCAGACAATAAAGTGATCAACAGCATGAGTATCGATCTACGAAATTGGGATACGATGACATATGTCAGCAATATTCCAGCTATATGTGGGCTGTTTGTAATTAATCCAATGTTGGACCAGACAATAAAGTGATCAACAGCATGGGCATCGATCTACGCAATTGGGATACGATGACACATGTCAGCAATATTCCAGCTATATGTGGGCTGTTTGTAATTAATCCAATGTTGGACCAGACAATAAAGTGATCAACAGCAAGAGCATCGATCTACGCAATTGGGATACGATGACATATGTCAGCAATATTCCTGCTATATGTGGGCTGTTTGTAATTAATCCAGTGTTGGACCAGACAATAAAGTGATCAACAGCATGAGCATCGATCTACGCAATTGGGATACGATGACATATGTCAACCAAGACAGCGAACCTGACCACCCAATCCCGTTAATCGCCTCCTATAACAAGCATGGGTTACTGAAGATCACTTCTAACCCGGATCTTCACGGTTATTCATTGTGAATTAATATGATGTTAGTGTATATTCTTGAAACACGTCATACTTACAAAGTGAAATGTCATCGCTTAAACATTTCCTTGGGAGAATGTCCGTTTTGTGACTGATAGTGTTCAGCTGGAAAGAGAAGGATTAGTTAATACCTGGCAGTCGTTAATGTATACCTTACACTGTGTCAAGTTAACGACAGAAATCAGTTACACAATATTTATGTATAATGGCGTCAAAACCCGTTCCAAAAGAAGGTTAAATCTGATCTAAAAGAAGTTAAAAGTTTGCGTCACATCGGCAATATTTTAACCATATCGTGACTACACAAAGTCATCATTTAGAATATATATATGTATGCTTTATAAAAGCTGTCATGGAAAGACAGTGTAACTACTAGATTATCACACATATATACTGAGGGGAAAAAATAAGGGATCACATGAAAGCACAAGTGTTCCTTTATTTTTTTTTCCAGGTTTCTTCATAAGTTGTGCAATACAAGGTTTGTGAAGAAACCTGGGAAAAAATAAAGCAACTCTTGTGCTTTCATGTGATCCCTTATTTTTTCCCTCAGTATATTATCAAAACTAGTTTGAGAACATTAAAATATGAAACTATTCATCGACAAACACAGTATAAAAGTGGGCTAGAGATCGCCAGCAACTAAAGTAACGCCGCCATACTAGGGACCGTGGGGACTTACCATACTTCTGCTTCATTCACGATCCCTCAGCAGTATCTATCCCATCCCTTCAGCGGCTAGTGATTGTTTTCAATGTCAGTCTAAACCAGACGTGACAATAGTTAGGAAATGTGTACTTGATCGGTTGTAGAGACTGATAAAGGCATCAAGGACCAGAATGAGTTATATTTTGCCACCTCACCTGAACACAACTTACAGCATGAGACCCAGCTAGTTGATGAAATAACTTGAGTACATCCATTTCCGACTGCATGTACTTCATCCTCTGTTTCCAGTTTTCTGAAACCAAATAATGATACAATCAGGAAATTAGATATCGAGGTCGAAATCATTTATTCATGGTAAAGGATCGTTGTTATACGTCCTGATTGTATTGACTGAAGCATCCCAGAAAGACATACCACATTTCATTGCCTCCAGTTGATTGTCCATTGCAATTACAACCTGAAACATATGAAACAGATTTATCACAAACGTGATCTCTAACCACAATGTTAGGGAGATTAATGCCTTTGCGGATTTTTGTTTCCTTATGTACATTTTAATACAGAAATAATGCCCTTTGCGTTGTCCCGTTTCTGTCGAAGGTAATCTGAAACAGGAATTCCCTTGCCAAAAATACCATGTTTAACCAATGTCTCGATTCCGTATTTGAATATGACAATATTAATTATGTATTGAACGAGTGGTTCCAGTTTCGGTGTAGATACAATACACTATGCTCATTTCGTAATAATTGGTTGGATGGTTTGTTGTTTAGATATCAGAAATATTCCAGCTATATGGCGGTGTCTGTAAATATTCGAGTCAGACAACCCAGTGATCAACAGCGTGAGCATCCATCTACGCATTTTGGATACGATGAAATGTGTCAACCAAATCTGACCACACGATCCTGTAACTTGCCTTTTACGACAAGCATGGTTTGCTTAAAACCAATTCTTACCCGTATCTTCACGGCTAAGTTTCATAATGAACAATAGTTGAATTTACCATTTCAACAGCAGTGACTCTTTTCCTCAGGTCTGCCGTGCTTGTCTCTGTGGAAAGAAATCAATTACAATTCCCTTTTCAATACCAATGATAAAACGCCCCTTTTCTCGGACATTTGAAGAGACGTAAACCCCGTAGAAAATGAAACTAAGAAATCACCATCCTTCACACATACATCTAATATTACCCTCATGCATTACACCATACTTTGCTAATGTCTTACATTTGACGTTTGAATGAAAAGGTGAGTGAGTGTGTGAATATGGTTTTACGCTGCTTTTAGCAATATTCCAGCAACATCACGGCGGGGGACACCAGAAATTAGCTTCACACATTGTACCCATGTGGGGAATCGAACCCGGGTCTTCGGCGTGATGAGTGGACGCTTTAACCACTAGGCTACCCAACCGCTACTTGGAAGAAAGAAAACAATGTGGCTGAACGTATGTCTAGGCTAACACTCGCCTCTCAGAAACTGCCAGTGACGACCATTTGTTCCATGCAGTACTGCATGCGTGTCGTGGACAACGTTCTCAAACTTGCACAGATCACGATTACCAACTTCGTGGAGCGATATTATGGATGGGTACAGGGGCCTGGAAATAAATCAATACATAACTCCGGAGAAATGGATTTATTTTCCAGGTCGGAAAACAGCATAGTATTCAAACACATCCTGTTTTAACTCGTAGAGTGATATGTTTTTTAGCAGAGTGATATGTTGTTTGTCATTCATTTGTTCATACTCTCAGTTATTGCGTGTTAGAATTGATGTTTCGAACCGTTTTATCAAACAACACAAATTCTACATCAGCAAAATCAGTAAATAACAAACTCAAGAAACGAATTCATACTCCAGATCGGAAAATAACACAGGTCTTCAAACACAAATCTTTTTGCCTCAGAATGATTGGTCACATACATACGCCGTTGGGCCTGTTCATACTCTCAGTTATTGCTTACAAATAAACGTACAGAGTAATTTACCTGAGTCTGTCCGTCTCCTCCCTTGACCTACACACCAGGAGAGTCTCCCCCAGCCTGCTCAGTCTCCTGGTCACCTCCAGCATCAGAGTCGTAGCTCCACTTCCGGGTTTACATCTCACCTGGACATGCTTAGAGTTCATGTTCTCAACCAAGACGACACACTGTTCTTTTGTGAGAAACTGTATATCCATGCGATTAACATCACCTTTTTCTGTCACCACGGACTTTGTTTCAGCAACAACCGCCCAGAAGGCTGTCATAACTTGATCATATTTCATTTGGTTCATCGAGAATGATGACTTCGGTGGGAATATTGAAGATAATGATGCATGTACTCGCAACCTGGCCTGGAACAATCTTGCATCTTTCAGATCATTTCTACTGATAATCCCACGTACAAAGTTAACACTCTCACTAGTAAACAACCGCAATTTAGTTGTCATTTCTCTGGCCAAATGTGCGTTGTAATCCTTTGCATTCTTTGTCTCCGGAAAAGCATCAATAACTGTGAGCAACATGGGGGGTTGCTGGGGCAGTGCCAAGAAAATGTCACATAGTTGTTGCACTGTTTGTGGCAACGTCGGCAGGTTGAATGTTGGTCCAAAGGAATTCGTCAGCAGAACAAGGCCAGGCGTGTTTTCACATAGCTCAGAACTTGCACCTTTCACTATGTTTTCCTTGAATAGAAATCCATCCCCTGTAATTCGCGACATCAAATCATCATTTATGTCTTGTAGATCATTGTTCGGTCTTGATGGTACAATTCTGATGACCCCTGCAAAATGTGGCGTATGTGTAACATATAACGATAACTTCTCATGAAATACGAACATTTGAATTGGGAGGCGATTAGTTGTGTGTCTTGGTTAAATGAAAATATACCACAGATTCCACGGGCTTCCAATCAGAGGCATGTTTAAAGGCATTTAAAGAGTGAGTGGTTTTCGGCGTGCCGGGCGAACGCTTTAACCACGAGGCTTCCCCACCGCCCCGTCATGTAAAGATATTTAAAGAGATGTCATCGTGTAAACTAGTTGTTATTTGAAGAGTGATAGTGATAATGACAACATGTGCTGCAGAAGTGTCTCACTTCTAAGAGGCTTGGGAAGAAGTGAAGCATCCATTTTGTAACAGCTTTCGTCAAAAGTAGTTTCAATTCATTTTTATAAATCTGGTCATCTCCTCGGTGATGAGCAAATGATAACAGTTAGCTGCAGAGTATATTTGGCCCAGAATATGTACAACGAGTAATTGATGATATGCATAAAAGGCGTTGTGTACCTGGTTCCTGAAAGTAGCGTTTGATTTCAGCGATGCTATTTCCTATTTGCTTCAATGAAGGACGAAGAAAATCTTTAGTCTTCAAATGGAATTCGTTTTCCGCCTCTGGGTTCACTTTTCCCTGAAATGTTGTGGAATATTTTTCAGTTATACAGTGAATACTAACACATAAATAAGAATACATATAGAGTGCTTGAATCAATATGGTCAAAGCTGTTGCTATTATGCAATCAATACTAACACATTTAAATATGTAAATAGAACAGTGGAATCAATATGATTGATCTCTTACAGTTACACAATCAACATAATTATTAGTCTGAATATATATGGAGCATTGGAATCAATGGTATTATTATCCTTGGTTATCCTGTGTATCATATGTCTGTTCTTATGACACAGTTAAACACCGTTGTGTCGAAGTTCAAAAGACCTACCTCTAAATATCCGAGGTTCGACACAAGCGATATGAATATGAATAAGGAGTGAGTGAGTTGGGATTTACGCCTCTTTAGCAATAGTCCTGCAATATCACGGCGGGGGACACCAGAAATGGGCTTCACACATTGAACCCATGTGGGGAATCGAACCCGGTCCTTCGGCTTGACGAGCGAACGCTTTAACCACTAGGCTGCCCCACCGCCCCATATGAATTAAGAAAAAACACCAGAGAACCCAGCTTTAACTTGGAGACAACCGTACACTCGACACAACGTTCGACACAGCGATGTTAGACTGCATCTACACTGGACCTATTCGACTCAGCAGTGTTAGACTGCATATACACTGGACCTATTCGACACAACGGTGTTTGACTGCATATACACTGGACCTATTCGACACAACAGTGTTTGCATATACACTGGACCTATTCGACACAAGTGTTTGACTGCATATGCAAGGGACTTATTCGACACAGCGCTTTTTTACTGCATATACACTGGGCCTATTCTACACATCGGTGTTTGACTGCATATACACTTGACCTATTCGACACAACGGTGTTTGACTATATATACACTGGACCTATTCGACCCAACGGTATTTGACTGCATATACACTGGACCTGTTCGCACAACGGTGTTTGACTGCATATACACTGGACCTATTCGACACAGCGGTGTTTGACTGGACCTAATCGCAACTATCGCATCCTTTCGCATACTGTCGCAAATATAATATGAACGTCTTGTAGTGAACCGACTTACAGGCCCCTGTCTCAGTACTCAGGGAAACACTTTCCAGCTAAAACGATATAAGATTCGTGTAAATTCACCTTGTGTTCGCTTGAAGGAGGCCTCCAGTTTTAGTGTCGATCTATGGTAAGCTCGGGTTCACAAGAGGCAGTGTTACAGTACAACCAGAAATTATTGAGAATTTCAAGATTGTAATTTTTTAATTTTTTTTCACTCATTACTCACGTATTAAATGTGAATATTAGCAGAACATAACTCCAGATTCAAAGACAGGTGAACAGTTAGTATCTTGTCAAGTCACCATGGGCAGCAATGCAGGCTTCAATGCGGCGAGGCATACTACTGATCAAAGAAGTTAGAAAGTTGTGGTCCATGCTGTCCCAATATCGGACCACCTCTTCCTTCATTTCAGCAATTTCAGATTTTTCGTATTGACACTTTCCTTCATAAGTCCCCAAACATTTTCTATTGGATTTAGGTCAGGGCTATAGCTTGGCCAATCTAACATAATGTCATATTTTGGGTTCGAAACCAGGCCTGTGAATGTTTTTGGTCGTTGTCCTGCTGGAAAATCCAAAACTTTCCATAGAACACATGAGCAGATGGAAGTAAATGACCCTCGAGAATATCTGTGTACCGCTCACTGTTCATATTCCCTTCAAATACACAGAGGGACGTTGCCCCTAACACAGATATGCCACCCCACACGTTAAATTTCGGACTGAACTTTGGACGCTGATACAAAGCTTTTTCAGTTTGTTTGGTCCAGAATTTCAGTGTATTAGGAAACAGCCACACAGAACTTTCATTTGAGAAAATCACATTGTCCCAGTAAAATATTTTAAGCTGTAAGCACCAGTTCAACCTTCGCTCCTTTTGTTCAGGTTTCATGATCGGTGATGGAATTCCTCGACTTTTCTGCCAACCCTTTGCATGCAGCTCAGTTCTAATTGTCTCCTTACATACAGCCACAGTTCCTCTATCAATCATATCCAGCCTTAAGTTTTCTAAACTCCTTCGTTTGTTTTTAGAAACAAGAATACCAAGCCGCCTCCTGTCACCAACAGTCTATTTTCTGGGCCTACCTGCGCCTCCTGGTGCTCAATGACATATCCATTTGCAATATGTTTCAAAACACGATAAACAGTGGACAAAGGGATGCCTGTTCTACTTGAAATCACTTTAGCTGATCTGATGTCCTTGTTGTAATACTCTAAAATCAACTTCCTCTTCCCTAAATCATCCATACTGAGGATCACTGAAAATGTCGTCTGCTAGCAAGTCAACAAAGGGGGATAACTCTTCACAAACTAATGAAAAAGGATTAACGGAGTTGTCTCTCTTGAATGAAACCAAGCATTTGATAGCTGGTCAAGGCTGTTTATACTAGAAATCCAAATAAACATATTCCTAAAATTCTCAATAATTTCTGGTCATACTATAGTTTCAAGCTCATAAGCAGTAGTTCTGTGCAAAGATAGTGATAGGATAGACGGAGTTGGAGACATCACTTCCAAAGCGATGGAATGGTGGCAAATTGATCCAGGTATCATTATGATAGAATGGACGTATGATACACTGTATGCTCGAGGATAAATACTTTATGTCCTTCCGAAAATCACCGGGGCGGCGGGGTAGGCTAGTGGTAAAGCGTTCGCTCTTCACCTCGAAGACCAGGGTTTCATTCCCCACATGGGTACGATGTGTGATGCCCATTGCTGGTGTCCCCCGCCGTGATGTTGCTGGAATATTGCTAAAAACGTCGTAAAACTAAACTCACTCACTCCGAAAATCCCATTATGTCAGACACTGTAGTATCATCTCAACATAAGTTGATGTGCAAAAGAAACTACACATGCTTTGTAAAGGACATGTGGTGTTTCCACAACACACACGATAATTGTCACTTTAAGTTGCAATCAAAACACTTACCCAAACAATTTCGTTTTGGAAATAATCCACAAACAAAATGTGTGTACTTTCTTTTGTATGTCAGTTTACATGTTGTGTGCATTAAGGCATCACATGCCCCTGCATTTGGATTGAGATAATTTGATTTCAGCAAATGATGAAAAGCTAATGACTAAAAATATTTTATATACCTCGAGTTTCGCCATTGCCTGTCTAGCTGACTTGCTGATCTGAAACAACACGATCGTTTTGTTGACTAAATTTGTTTTACATGTATGGTCCTATTGTATGACAGTAGAGTGAGCTTCAAAAGTTAGCATGGTGAATTTATAACTTGTTTTCGTCACGATATGGCTAAATATTGCCGATGTGACTATAAATCGTAACTCACTCACTCAGTGTTAGCACTCGGGTAAATAGAAAATGCAATTTGGAAAGTATGTAAAGTGTATAATATGTTAAATCTAGGATTACAGAGGCACCAATTCCCCAGCATACAAGGTCAGCGATCGAACCCGCTCAGCCATCGCTGGCTACCGCCAAAACATATGCTAAATTGCACTCATATATCACAAACAGTAAAACGAATGGTAAAATATTATTATCATTATTTGTGTGGTATATTGTATATCATATACTAGTATTGCACTTTATACATTGTACTTTGCATTGTATAACCCATATTGTTGTTCTGGTGTGTCCAAGGGACGTAATTCTGAACAGCCGACGCAATTTAATGACATAAAGGAGACATGGTGACGTGATATTGTAAATATATATACTTACTTCTGGTGAAATGGTCATGAATATGTTCCTACTTCCTCTGCATTATAGTTATGGAGCTAAATTCTTGGATGACAAAGTGATTGCCCGGAACCACTCCTTCACAGTGTATGTTGTGACAGCGTTGTTGACTATTCGATAGGCCAATGGTCCTTGACTGTCATAGAACACTATTCCACTAATTGGTTTGATGTGTACATGTATTACAAAATGTCCACCTGGTGAACTGTTTGGTGAACCGTTTGCTGCGCTGCCTGTGAGTGAGTGCAGGAATTCAACCTTCACTAAATCCAGATCATGTCTTTTGTTCCCATTATAGTCACATACCAATGCTGTTTCTTCAAATGTTCTTTTAATGTCAGTCGCAAGCTGTTCACAACTTATGACTGCCACCGGTTGGTTTTTATAAACCTTTGACCTGTACAAGTTGCTTGCAAAGTACAAATCACTCTCTGCTACTCCAACGAAATACGACCCACCTCGATCGTTCTTTGTAAATGCGCTTGCGTATTCCAGAAGCTTGTGCTCCTTGAACATGAAATCTAAAATATCTCGATCACTGCTGTTTGGCGTGGGGTAGTATCCTTTGAATTGAATGGACCTGCTCTCTTGCAGGTTTTGTATAACCCAATTCACTTCCGGACAGTGGAATACTTCACGAAACTGTTTCTTCTTCCTCAGACAAGTAAGTACAGTCTGGTCCGAGGGGTTGATGATTCGATCGTCCAAGGCTATCTTGGTCTTAAAGTCGGTTGTTGTCAGATAGTCTCCACCTTCTACAGAGAGAACTATAATGTCAGTAAAGCTCAGAAACTGTGCCACTTCCTCTTGTTGTAGCTTCTGTTCTATAGCTTCCAGCTCTAGTTTGCTTTGTTCTATCAAGGTCTCTAGCTGATCAATGTCTTCCTGCTGGCTTTCTCTCAGCGCACGAAGCTCCTCTTCTTTCTCGAGTTTCACCTGCTGCAGGACTTTGCCATATGCACACATGGGCTGTTTCGTGTAAACATCAGTGAAAAGACTTCCATCGTGGATTAAACCCAAAAACTTTTCATCAACGAATTCGTCAAATGCACCGGAGAAAGTATCCTGCTGGTCACGACCTACAAGATGTATCAAGATCTGACCAGAGGTTGAATTGCGGAGTGCCGTCACTTCTTTCAATAACTCTTTCACTTTGTGATCTCTCTTAACCCTTTTCTGTTTCCTTTGCTCGGCGTTTTCACCTTTTAGTCCGTTCAAATAGCTGATGTGTATAGCCGTCAGAAATACATTAGATTGTGAAGAATCCTTTCTGAAGAGTGCCAGAGCACGTTCTCCTCTGGGGATATGGTGACTGAAATACAAAATAAATATGAAAAGTCAATTCGAAAGAATTGAAACGGAATCGATTAGGCGTAATGGATAAAGTAGAAGTGATAATCATATGATTAAACCACTGAGACCCAACCTTTGTAACGTAGCTCCAGGCTGTACAAATATTTGGTAAGGTCGGAATGCAATGACCCCTGTCATCATATGTGATGATTTCCCTTGGGTACAATGCGAATTTTTGCTAAATATATATTGTTACGGTATAATATCTAAAACGAAAACCAATGCTTAGGGAAAATATTGAAGTGTACTTACTTGAAACAATCTTGATGGAATATCTTATCTGATTGTTTACGACCATTTGTCGTCGCAGGGATGTCATCGCCACAGTAATCACATAGTATCATCTCATCTGAAACGTAAAAACAGCTGGACATTTGATCATGATGAGGAAGTGTACCGTGGATACGCAGCATGTAATGAAACACTCAAATAGTTCCGTGGCTTTCATTCTCGTATTGTAAACACACCTATGTCATCATGACAGACAACATCGAACATGCTGTGGCCATACAGGTTACACTCACTAGTATTTATTGAAAGGTGAAGATCATTTTACATCCCTTGTGATGAAAGAGTCACGGTCAAGCAGTGTCCTACTTGACTGTCTTGATTTTTCCATCACAAGGGTAAATATTTCAATGCCAAAACAGTTAAGGGCCTTTTTAATCATGGAAGTTATCATTTAATAATTGGATTTTTAAAGGAAATTTACTTACTTGATAAATTTTGATTTTGTTCTCCAATTAGTATATGAATTTTAATTTGTGAGAATGACTAAATAATATTGATTGTAGTGGCAATACCTTCAAAGGGGGTTGACCTAGCGTAAAATGACTGACCTCTAAAAGTGCATGTTAGTCCCATTTCATTCAAGGTAGGCATTTTTGTCACAATCTCCAACGGCTGAGGGAATGGTCAAAATCCAGCTAAGGTCCATGTAGGTAGCACAAGTACTGTAAATCCCCATGGACCCTTGTATGGTGATCTACCTTCAGTTGTTGGCATTATCAAGCCCGTGTATGTCTTGTTCTCTTTAATGATATCTTTTTCCCCCTTACTGTCTGTGATGTTCTAGTACTGGCCATCGACGACAGGTTTTAACCATCAAAATGCATTCATCTTTAATTTTTAATTGTTCTCGTCACGATATGGCTGAAATATGTATAGGCTGATGTGAAGATAAATACTCACCCCTCACCCACTCGTGTTCTCATAAGTACAACATGAACTTGGTCATGATGTATTGTGCACATTTGGCCCATACCATTTCCTTCCCTGTGTACATGGGCTTCACGACCGTATCACATGATGACACAAAGACAGTTAGTCATCACTGGGAACTGATACAAAGGACAATGTTAACAACTAGTCACTTAAGTCATTTCCCCTTTCAGCGACGGTGAGTAAACACTTGTACAAGGACGTTCCGAGAAAAGATTAATTTTAGAGAAGAGCATTAAATGATTAGAAATAACATCCTTGTTGAGCATTTAAGAATTATATAGTTTCCGTGTGGAATCTCTTTGGGCGTGGAGTTAAATTATTGGCTAATAGTCGGAAGTGACTGATGGAAATTCTTTCTCTTGCGTGAAATATATCCTTCCTGATAACATGGTACAATTTGTTAAATATTTTATTTGTTATTTTGGAAAGAATAGAAATAATAGAGAGTAGATAGCTAAAGTAACCTTAAAGTATAACCACATGTATTGGGTTGTAACTACATGTAATGTCATATAACTAGTTGAGTGAATAATGCAATGCAACGATTATTGCACCTGTAAGGTGAAATCACTGAAGCATCTGTCTTTCAAATGCCAGTATACCCACTTGGACTATTTAGAAGAAATACAAGCATGTTTTGGAGATTCTTTTCCAATGAGGCCGCCTCGTCTGTTTCACTATATAACAAAGGGAAAGACCTTTTCCTTTTCAGGAACAATTGAGTATGCTCCATCTACGAAGATATCGATACCTTTTTGAGAGTGGACGAAGGGCATGCGTGTTCCATCGGTGTAACCGATAACGAATTGTCAGCCAACTCACTCAATCACGCTGTAGCTATGTCAAGTTCATCATAGTTTGAAAGGCGCTTTAACCACCGTCTCGTAACACAGTCGTTCTGATAAAACCAGTGCACCAGTTGTTACCATAGGTCGACCAGATCGATGTCTGTCGTCAGCGTTATGGATCTGTCGATATATCGTGATTGCTATCTGCAAATTACTGACCGAGAAACGTTAAGGGCGTGTGTCTCAATGTTCCAATGTCCAACCTACCAACATTCCCATTACACATAGCCGTTCCTGACGGATGTCAAAATCTAAATAAGAACTTTCAGTCTGTTTATGGTCACAGAAACACACGCAGCAATACACTGACACGTTTCACTGTAAATTTCAAAGTTTACCCCGACTATGTTCACCTACATGTATAGGAATTCGTAGTCTGTGTCAAACCTTCATTTTAAATGAATAAAACGCGTGATACATGTATATGATAAATAAATGAATGAATGAATGAATGAACGGAAATCACCCCTTTTTATACTATAGTAGACATGGATCACGCATCCAAATGTGACGCATCAATATCAAACGTTAGGCCATATGCAGTTCTATGTTTGATACTTCTACTATATGTTCTGGTGTTTTTATGCAGGAGAATCTTTTCATGAACACCTGGTATCATCTGTACCTGATTCCACAACAGATGGTACTTTACCCTACATAGATGATACTTTACCCTGCATAGATGATACTTTACATAACATAGATAACAGTTTACCCGACATACATAAGATAGATGATACTTTACCCTACAAAGATGATACCTAACCCTGCATACATGATACATTCAGCTACAAAGATGATACATTCAGGTACTTAGATGATACTTCACCATACTTAGATGATACTTTACCCTATTTAGATGATTCTTTACCCTACTTGGGTGATACTTTACCCTACATAGATGAAACATTCAGTACACATATGATGGTACTTTACCCTACATAGATGAAACATTCCAATACATAGTTGATGCTATACCCTACATAGATGATACATTACACTACTTAGGTTATACTTTACCCTGTATAGATGACACATTTAGTACATAGATGATACTGTACCCTACATAAATGAAACATTCAGTACATAGATGATACTGTACCCTACATAAATGAAACATTCAGTACATAGATGATACTGTACCCTACATAAATGAAACATTCAGATGGTACATAGATGATACACAGATGTAATTTACCCTACATATGAAACATTCAGTACATAGATGGTACTTTACCCTACATAAATGAAACATTCAGTACATAGATGATACTTTTTACCCTGTATAGATGAAACATTCAGTACATAGATGATACTTTACCCTACATCAATGAAACATTCAATACATAGATGGTACTTTACCCTACATAGATGATACATTTTACATAGATGATACTTTACCCTACATAAATGAAACATTCAGTACATAGATGAATACTTTACCCTGCATATAGATGAAACATTCAGTACATAGATGATACTTTACCCTGTATAGATCAAACATTCAGTACACATAGATGATACTTTACCCTACATAGATGAACTTTACCCTACATGAAACATTCAGTACATAGATGGTACTTTACCCTACATAAATGAAACATTCAGTACATAGATGGTACTTTACCCTGTATAGATGAAACATTCAGTACATAGATGGTACTTTACCCTACATAGATGAAACATTCAGTACATAGATGGTACTTTACCCTGTATAGATGAAACATTCAGTACACAGATGGTACTTTACCCTGCATAAATGAAACATTCAGTACATAGATGTAGTACTTTACCCTGCATATGTGTGGAAACATTCAGTGGTGGGGTAGATGTGTGGTGGTATGTGTGGGTTAGTATGTGTGGTGGTATGTGTGGTGGGTATGCGTGTGTGGTATGTGTGGTGGTATGTGCGTGAATGTGTGGTGGTATGTGTGGTGGTATGTGCTGGTTGGTGTATGTGTGGTGGTGGTATGTGTGTGGTGGTATGTGTGGCATGTGTGGTGGTGTGTGTGGTGGTGTGTATGGTATGTGTGTGTGGTTATGTGTGTGGTGGCATGTGTGTGGTGGATATGTGTGCGTGTGGTGGCATGTGTGTGTATGTGCGGGTGGGTATGTGGTATGTGGTGGCATGTGTGGTGGCATGTGTGTGTGGTGGGTATGTGGTGTATGTGTGTGTGGTATGTGTGTGTGGTGGTTATGTGTGTGTTGGTATGTGTGTGTGGTGCGTATGTTTGTGGTGGGTATGTGTGTGGTGGTGGGTATGTGTGTGGTGGGTACGTGTGGTGGGTACGTGTGTGGTAGTTATGTGTGTGTTGGTATGTGTGTGTTGGTATGTGTGTGTTGGTATGTGTGTGGTGGCTTTTTCCAGTTCGCACTTCGAAGTTTCTTTATGGTTGCTAAAAGCTATATCAGATATGATTGAATGGGTTATTATTTTGGCAATGGGCACAGTTAAAATCATTGTTTTTCTCATGGTAAGTGAACCTATTTTGCTATACAAATATTCTACGTGGATAACAGACAGACAGACAGATTATTTATTTGAGTATCACGTGACTTGTAAAATACAAGACATATATAAGCTATAATACAGAATAAAAGTGAGCCACCCGTTTAGGGTTATGAGAGACTATTGTAGACTTTAAGAACCAACATAAATATACACCATGAGTGAGTGTGTGAGTTAAAATTTAAAGTCACTTTGGCATTATTTCAGCCATATCGTGGCTAAAACTAGTTTTAACTTCATCAACATACATGTAAATCACTAAAAGCCTGTCAACGAAGGACAGTTTAACCAACTAGAATATCACAGACGACATTCGGGAGCCTATGATAAATGATGGAGTCACGACAGGTCGTAACGTTACGAACGCTTTGTGGATCAGGGCTCCAGAGAAGAATTGCTGCAGAATACTGTTCCTCCGGGTTTTCAATATCCCATTACTTTAGTTGTCATTTCACAGACATCCAAAAGCATCATGTTATTCCATCACAAGCTTTGCATGCAAAATAAGAAAAGAGAAACTCGTTTTCTGCGATTTTGGATAACTGAATTTCCAACGTCAGTACAAAGTAAGACTAAAACAAACTAAACAATTTTTCCATCTAATATATAAATTGATAAAATATAATTTACTGACTCTGGGGTGGACAGAAGTCACTGATGGGAGTATTTATGTGTATGCTGATGGACACATAGCTCATGTAGATCAGGGGAGGTGGGGTAGCCTGGTGGGTAAAGGTTCAATTCTCCACATGGGTACAATTTGTGAAGCCCATTTCAGGTGACCCCCGCCGTGATATTGCTGGAAACCTGCTAAACGCGGCGTTAAACAAAACTCACTCACTCATTCATGTAGATCATGTCCTTGTTACAAAATATTTGTTTATAATGCAACTATCTAGACATATGTTATGTGAAAAAGTTCCATACATAGCCCTCTTATGTCTATGAATTTAATGTACACAAACGTTGTGTAGATATTATAGTTTCACGTCATATTGACATCCATTGCACTGTGGCCCCCATAAGCCCTTGCTAGTTTAAAGACCGATGGCAATTTAATGAAGTACAGCGCCGACCTCTGGATTATTAAATACTCGGCACGCATAGGAAACGGTCTGTGCTAAAGTGGATCCTTAGGTCATGTGTTAACAACCATTTAATTACGTCACTGAAGGGGCTGCTGCACTCTAACCAGCCAAGAACCTGTTTTATCATCCAACAAATGAAATATATGTTCATTTCTGTCAATACAGTACTCTTCCATTTAGCTTTGACCAAACATTTAGGCTTAAGAAACATAGAGTATATCTAAACATTATCATACACGATTATAAAGCATTAAATTAAGATCGTCAATGAACAACATTTACAGTTAATGCATGACCACCGACTGTTCAAATTGTTCATTGTATTGTACGCCCTGAGTGATAAATGCAATTTGGTCGACAAATGAAACGTACATATCAAGCGTCGGTTAAACGTTGGTGGATGGCGCGTTTATATCCTTGCATCCACACATTGGGGAATATGCTACGTTAGTACTGGCCGTCGTCACGACAGAGAGGTTTTGCTGTATATGCAAAGAATAAGGTGCCTACAACTCACATTTATCTCCATATAATGTTCGTTTTTACTTACTTACTTACCTACTTACTTACGTCAGATGAGATATTATTGGCAACTTTAGAAGACACAAGCACCGTAATACACGTACCTGAGTTCAAAAGGCTATTCTAATGCATATTTATTCTGTTAGTGAGGTTTTATTTTAGAAGTATGATATTATGGACTTAGATATATTTTAAATTCAACTCTGACGTAGACAGTTGTTCACTCTCAGATTCACGCAGATTCTGCACTAAACCATAAAAAGGTTTAAAATAGAAACTTCAAACATAACTTTAAGTAATCAAGAATTGTACTCAGTAAATCACGATCACTGCGCTTCAGTCGACATACCTAGATTAAGTAGTGCATTGTACAACATCGACTTGGTATAGAACTTGCTATAGGTAATATCCATTTCAATGATATACTTGTTGTGGATATAATGTTTAAAGTGATGAAAAAGTAGGGTTGTATTCTATGTATTCCTTCAGACCAAACGTTAAAGTTCACATTTCATATTATGGATATGTGGGCACGTTTCATAAAGTACGCTCCCATTCAGAGAGAACACATTCCTCCTACTTACCAGCTGATAGAAGTTTCCTGACAACATGATTATCATGACCTTTCTTTATAGCCTGGATTAACCCTTGATAATGAAGGAAGTCAATTCATGGCAACACTATATACCCCAAAATTTGAAGGATTCAGGTCTGTGCCCACATACGTAGGATCTTGTCGGCACTGGTCGGAGGTTATTGAGGCGTATTTGGATGCTATCCCACATGTGTTCTGTTGGATTGAAATACGAACGGCCAATCCTTGGGGATGATATTAATTGTGCTGTAGAATACCTCTGGTGGCTTTCGGGCGGTTGGGTAGCCTCGTTCACTGATAGTCATCTACATAAATAAGTAAAGGGATGTAACGCACACAAAGTTGACAAACACCCCCTCTCGTTTCTGGGTGAATAATGGGGGTGGAAATGCATGGAATTATACGAATCCAGGCTGTGTATTCCGTAATTTTCCACCCAGAAGCCGCCTCTCTGATTGGCTAAAAATAGAATACCTGTGAATACAAAATACAGGTATTTTATTTCCTGCCAACAAGAGAGCAGCTCGTCGTTGGCGCGAGCCTATTGCGGGTGAAGGAAAAACACGGTGGACTCGATCACTCGATACAGCTATATTTCTAATAAACGAGTGTGTGGCACGAAACCATAACAATAAAACACGCTATTTTGTCAATTTAATGCATGTGAGAGGTGGGTTATAAATAAAGTACCACACTCGGTCTCATTACATACGAATTATACGAAACGAGTGCCCTTCCTATGGCATCTGACCGAGCGAAAGCGAGTCAGAAACCGAAGGAAGGTCACGAATTTAGTATAATTCGTATGTAATGGGACCTCGTGTAGTATTCTCTATTTAAGCACCTCTGTCATATGTGTTCAGTCTTCCAAATACTCTTTTATTTCGTGACCTGTGTACTAAAAGATAATTTGGCGGCCAATGAAACAAGAATCCCAATCGTTGGCCATACAGACATGTTCACAGGTTCAATATCCTGCATTGATCCATCATGTGATATCACCATATTCTAAGTAACAGTGCCCAAGGCGCGGTCACAACAACCCTGCTGGGTCATAGCATACCCTCTGGGTCAAAGCACTATGTTGCGGGTAACGGCAGCCCATGTGAGCAAACAGATGAATATCGGAAAGTCACACTGTAACACACAACAGGTGGAAAGTTGACGTCACAATACCGCTTGCAGATTCCAGAAAATATACAATACGTACATAGTGGGAGGTCACAATACCTGGTGTAGATTCCAGATAACAGACAATACGTGTGAGTGAGTGAGTTGGATTTTTACGTTGCTTTTAGCAATATTCCAGCAATATCACGACGGGGGACACCAGAAATGGGCTTCACACATTGTGCCCATGTGGGGAATCGAACCCGGGTCTTCGGCGTGACGAGCCACCGCTTTAACCATTAGGCTACCCCACCGCCCACACAGACAATACGTACTTGTTGAGGGTCACAATGCTTGGTGCCGATTATACAGAGCTAACACCTCGTTAACAATTAAGTCTAAGCAAGTGTTCCTTCGTTCATACATTAAAAACCTATACTTACCGACGTCCTGAGAGTGGCTGTCTGTTGTTAAAAACACAATGCATCAAAACGTTTACCCCACTACGTCCGTATACAGGGAAGACGTCCTTTCATTTTCCGCGGTAATCCCATTCCTAGTTTATATGACGAGACTGTAAATGTGTACATTGGCAAGATGAAGGACATTCACAACAGTCTGTTTCGCCCTAACCATGAGTCACATATGAACGCCCCCTGCGGTGAACATTGAATAACGTCACATGTGCAGTCTTGCACATCTCCGAACCAGCTATCATTTACAATCACGAACGGTCAGCGGACATCGAACATATTCACTGCTTTCGGCAGACTTTATCCTATTGGATTTCAACAAACATGTCGTCCACGAAAAGAAAAGAACTATAATTGGTTGACAAGAATCTTGATATCACTGATGCCTAGCTCCGTAGCATAAAGCATTGCAGGTAGACTGTCATCAAAAGATGAGTGGGTGAGTGAGTTTAGTTTTACGCCGCACTCAGCAATATTCCAGCTGTATGGCGGCATCAAAACATGAACGTACATGTAGATGCAGATGTTCAGGATACCTTAGTTGTTTTGAAGAAATATTATACATTTTGCGACATCGATTTAAAACAATTTTTTATTTGATAATGACAAACAGCTAGTATATAAGCACCAGTACAACACTGATACAATACTACTACAACACTGATACAACCCCAGTACAACACCATCACAACACAACCACAACACAGATACAGCACCATTACAACATCACCACAACACCATCACAACACCAGTACAAAACTGATACAACACCAGTACAACACCATCACAACACCAGTACAACACTGATGCAACACCGATACAATCCTGATACAACACCGATACAATACTGATACCACACCGATACAATACTGCTACAGCACCGATACAATACTGATACAGCATCCATACAACACTGATACAGGACCGATACAATACTGATACAGCACCGATACAACACTGGTACAGCACCGATACAATACTGATACAACACTGACAAAGCACCGATACACTACTGATACAGCACCGATACAATACTGATACAGCACCGGTACAATACTGATACAGCATCGATACAACACTGATACAGCACCGATCCAATGCTGATACAGCACCGGTACAATACTGATACAGCACCGATGCAACACTGATACAGCACCGATACGATACTGATACAGTATCGATACAGCACTGATACAGCACCGATACAATACGAATACAATACCCATACAACACTGATACAGCACCGATACAATACGGATACAATACCCATACAACACTGATACAGTACCGATACAATACTGATTCAATACTGATACAGCACCGATACAATACTGATACAACACCGATACAATACTGATACAACACCGATACAACACTAATACAGTACCAATACAATGCTGATACAGCACCCATACAACACTGATACAGCACCGATACAATACTGATTAAGTACCGATACAATACTGATACAGCATCGAAACAATATTGATACAGTACCAATACAACACTGATACAGTACCAATACAACACTGACACAGGACCGATACAATACTTTTACAGCACCGATACAACACTAATACAACAACGATACAAAACTGATACAGCACCTATACAATACTGATACAGCACCGATACAACACTTATGCAACACCGATACAATATTGATACAGCACCGATACAATACTGATACAGCACCGATACAATACTGATACAACACGATACAACACTGACACAGCACCGATACACTCCTGATACAGCACCGATACAAAACTGATACAACACGATACAACACTGATACAGCATCGATACAATACTGATACATCACCGATACAATACTGATACAGCACCGATGCAACACTGATACAACACCGATACACTCCTGATACAGCACCGATACAATACTGATACAGCACCGATGCAACACTGATACAGCAACGGTACAATACTGATACAGCATCGATACAATACTGATACAGCACCGATCCAATGCTGATACAGCACCGATACAAAACTGATACAACACGATACAACACTGATACAGCATCGATACAATACTGATACATCACCGATACAATACTGATACAGCACCGATGCAACACTGATACAACACCGATACAATACTGATACAGCACCGATACAATACTGATACAGCACCGATGCAACACTGATACAGCACCTATACAATACTGATACAGCACCGATCCAATGCTGATACAGCACCGATACAAAACTGATACAACACGATACAACACTGATACAGCATCGATACAATACTGATACATCACCGATAGAATACTGATACAGCACCGATACAATACTGATACAGCACCGATGCAACACTGATACAGCACCGATACAATACTGATACAGCACCGATACAATACGGATACAATACCCATACAACACTGATACAGTACCGATATAATAATGATACAGCACCGATGCAACACTGATACAACACCGATACAATACTGATACAGAACCGATGCAACACTGATACAGCACCGATACAATACTGATACAGCACCGATACAATACTGATACAGCACCGATGCAACACTGATACAGCACCGATACAATACTGATACAGTATCGATACAATACTGATACAGCACCGATACAATACGGATACAATACCCATACAACACTGATACAGCACCGATATAATAATGATACAGCACCGATACAATACTGATACAATACTGATACAGCACCGATACAATACTGATACAACATCGATACAATACTGATACAACACGGATGCAATACTGATACAGTACCAATACAATGCTGATACAGCACCGATACAGCACTGATACAGCACCGATACAATACTGATTAAGTACCGATACAATACTGATACAGCATCGATACAATACTGATACAGTACCAATACAACACTGATACAGTACCAATACAACACTGACACAGGACCGATAGAATACTTTTACAGCACCGATACAACACTGATACAGCACCGATACAACACTCATACAACAACGATACAAAACTGATACAGCACCTATACAATACTGATACAGCACCGATACAACACTTATGCAACACCGATACAATATTGATACAGCACCGACACAATACTGATACAGCACCGATACAATACTAATACAACACTGATACATTGCTGATACAGCACCGATACAACACTGTCGCAACGTGATTTGAATATGTACAGGCGAGTGTTTTAATGAACATTATGTAAATGCAGTCATCCATTGTTGAATTCCATGTTTTGAAATCACACCAATCTCAGGTTTGAAATTGTAGAAGGGCGACTTTTAGAAACTTGACCTGGCGCCTCTTAAATGTTTCCTGAACTCTGTCATCATTGGGTTACAACTCAACTGAGAAGGCGTATGTTGTTAGGGTGTGTACATATACGTCCTAGGCTGGTTGAGGTGTATCCTTCAGCTATACAATTGTGACATGCACTGATGCATCTCCGGTTAGCCAGTCTAATGAGTAGCTGGCTGGCTGGAAGTTGACTTCCCCCTCCCCAGCCCCCCACCACCCTTCACTTCTCTTTCGCACTCTCCTGTCTCCCCGCCCTGGCTCTTATTTCCATCTGCTCTCCAATCTGCTCTCCAATTTACTCTCCACTTTTCTCTGTATCAAAACAGGTACAGAATATTTCTCCTCACGAATGATTATGCTACACGCAAGGACTTGATAAAGGTCAATTTTTCAGTCCTCTTGGTTTATCCTAATCATCTTGCAACTGTTGTAGCTACTCTTATCTATACTGTAAGCCATTAAAAAACGCTTTGACATTCACACTTTCGTTACTCACACCAATTTCAACATATATAAACCTAACTGGCAGATATGTTTTAAGTGAACATCTGTGAATAATTTCATCTGAAAATGTCCAGTCAACAACAACATCAGTGACGCAAAAACGACATCAAACAAAAGAGGGGTCACTTGCAGTCAATATCGTGTGTGTCCACCATGCGCTGCAAGACATGCTCGCAGTCTTTGGGGCATTGAAAGACACACATTTCTCAGGAACAGCTGTTGCATGGTCTGCAGCCTCTGATGGTCTGTGGTCTGATCATGACACCACCCCCTCCAAAACGATCATGTTCAAGGACACAGTTTGGCGCAAGTCTTTCTCCTTTACGTCGATAAATCTGTTGACGTCCATCTGCAAAGGATAAGTTAAACCTGGATTCATCTGAAAAAAGGACATCTGGCCATGTCCTGTTGCCAAGATTGGCCCCATTTGCTGCCCATCGCTGTCTGGCAAGTCTGTGGCGATGCAATAAGGTTGGACCACGGTACGGGTGACGACACCGGATGTTGAAGGTAGCAAGGCGTCCTTGCACCTTTTGGGCGCTGAAATGACGTTGACTTGTCCCAATTGTCCTGCTTGCCTAATCATCAGCTGTTTGGAACCGATTTCGCAAGTGTGAAACTCGGATATTGCGGTTTTGTCTAGCTGTTATCACAGGTGGTGCACCAGGTCGCGGACGATCAGCAACACTTCCGGTAGCCCGAAAACGTTGTCTGAGTCGACTTACAGTGGATGGATGCACATTAAATTGCCTGGCAATCATCACATCTGAAGCACCTTCGCTGAACATACCGATAACCTGATTCCTTTCGTCTTGTGTCAAGTGTGGCATTTTCTCAAAGTGATTGAGTTCCACAATTCCTGTGCTTTTACAGGGCCTGGGTGCAGGTAATGCATGTGCACAACGTGTTTCATGAATGTGGTTGTGTTTACGAGAAATGTCAAAGGTTCAGTGTTAAGTATCAAAGTTCATGTGAGAGGAATGCTCCGGGACTCGAACTCGAAATGGGCCAGAATAACAGCCTTTTATACCAACATCCTCTGTATCGCAGGCAAAAATCTTCAATAGAACTTTTGTGAGTTTCAGGACAACAAATACCAATTGCGTTTTTAATGGCTTACAGAATATATACTACTTACTGTCATAGGAAGGTGACTAAGTCTGTTAGTCAGACCCCGAAGCACATATACCCAACACAGTCCATGCAAGTCATGTTGGAAGTCTAGATTACCACAGTTTCAAGGTCACTGAATTCACAAGCGAGAAAGAGCTTCTAAGTATCAGTTATTATCCAACTGTCATGAATGTTTGGTATCAGCACCTGGTAAGGCTCATCCACCTCTCCAGAAAACCCACGTGTCAAGACCCCCTGCT